CCCGGAGATATTTCTTTCCCATCAATCATCAGATCCGCATGAAGAAATCCCCCATAGACGTTGACATTTCCCCCAAGGAAACCGAGTCACTGCTGCAGATTTGTGAGCCGAGAATCGTTCCAACCAGTTTGTTAACGTACCAACTTCCTCCCTATGATTTGATTTCCCATTTCCACTCGTAGAATATATCATGGCAGCGACAAATACAAGCCAATCGTGTCCGCCAATGGAGCGGAGGGGTGATAAGACTTGATATGCCTTCGCAAATTGTCGCGGCGACTGCCCTTCATAATGGCAGAGCAGATGCAGCATTTTAGAACTGCTTTTGGGTGAACCGACTTGCGACGACGCTCCAGATCTCTGAGAGTACTGAATCGTCGACTGCGACCCGCTGAAGAGCATTTGTGCTGCCGCTCGTGACATCGCATGTGTTCCCTGTTGAGTGACCATCAATTAACCCGAAATTTCGGCATATTCTGTGTATGTGACGAACCTCAGGCTTCTGACCTCTCCTTTGAAGTTGTTGCAGACAGGACAAACATGGATACCGGAGATGGAGGCAGGGCTGCTGATACATGAAGCTGTCTGGCTTTGCGTGGGTTCCAGTGTGAAGCCACCTTCTGCTGACCTAGAGCCGGAGAGGTAGAGGGGAGAAAGTTCCACTCCGTCATTGGTATCATTATCGAAACCGATCAAGGAAACTGGGTCGATAGTGCATGTCGCATCGTCCAGTGGAGCTGCTTTGTTCCTTTCAAGCTCGTCCAACGGCGTAACTTGCTGCACGCCAACAGAGCCTGGGGATTGGGAGGTTGGAATCGTAGACCCATCATGATATAGAGCAGACCAGAGTTTTCTATTCTCTGACTGATCCCAGGCAGTGAAATGCTGTGTAGAAAAGTTATTTGCACATAAGTCAATGCCGCTGAAGCTGGAGCTGGTCGGCTGTGGATTTTGCGTGCTTTCAAGCCACGCACGGTCGAAGGGTTCGGCGCGAAAGTAGCCCCTAGTGAAGGACCGTCAGGAATGAGGCTGGCATGCCACGGGGTCTGAGATGTATCGTCGGCCCAAGAATATGAATTATGGGTCAAGGGAATTCGATTTCGGTTGGTCTGACTTGCTCCTGGATGCGGCAGAAACTGGCTGGCACGGTCTGCGACCGCAATCGTCTGCGGTTGGATCGGAATAAGAACACTGACCAAGTAATCTTCAAGTCAGATCACAAATTTCACCATGTATCACTTTAAATACATCATTTATAAAAAGAAGTCGGCAAGACACACCGAGTACCGGCCCAAAGACCTATTTGCAGCAGTTGGCTTGGTAGCGCATGGTATCTACCCTTCGAAGTTAGACCGAAGTTTTTTGTCAACTCATTCATCGTGGGAATCGACCGACCTCAATACACTTCCTTTCTTTCCAGCTCTGTAGTTCGAACTTTTCCCTTCTCGGAAGTCTGATGAAGAAAGAAATCGTAAATCGAAGCAACTGGGTTTTGGCTAGTTCTTATAATCAAGCCAGTAGAGCCTCAGGGCCTCAGTATTTCACAAATCATTACTTTGCGCGGCAGCCTAAATCAAAGCTAATATTGGTGGTAAGAGAAAAGCTTCCCCGCTCGGCTCGTCGGAGGACCACTCACGGAATGAACGACGAATAGGGCGCGTGGGAGCAAGACTGATGGCCGATAATGTGTACCGTTGAGGCCACGCCAAGAGAAGTTGCAAGCATTCTAACTCATCACACCCTCCATTGGTGCAGAGGCGTTGATGAGGTGAGCTCACACCGCCACGGCGAGGCAAACGGGCGCCTCGGCTGGGCAAACGGGGCCTCAACGGATCGGAGAGTCTCAGGGACAGGCTGCTTACCCACGCGGCTCTTCATTGATTTCGAGGCAAAGGGTAGTATGCCACAATTTTCCCGTCAGACAGTAGCCCGTTTACATCCTTTGCCGCTATGGTAGAAAGAGTGAGATCCTTCTCTGCTCACAAAAGTGACAAGTTGCGGAAAGAGTGTGGCCAATTCTCAAGAGGGTAGTTGTTGAGTCTTATATAGGTCTTCTCTGAGAGGTGGAAGTGGGCTTGTGTATTGGGCAGTAGACTACGTTATCGTCTCAAATGGTATTGTATAGCGAGTGCTCAAAGTGTGTAATGATGAAAGTTCGACCAGGCGACGACATGGAATGGTCTCGCGGATATGTCCGGTATGACACAACTTCAGGGTGATGTTTTGCAGTCGAATTCAGAATCGAGGTTCTCTACAAGTGCTAGAATTGTCGCAAAAAGATATGAGGATTGTGCATCCTAGACTATGTATATCTTGGCTGAGCCATTCCTTTGAAGACTAAATTCCCAGAAAGACCATCGCTACGTTTGACCTTGGACTTTTGACTTGGAGTGTAATCTTGGAGGACTTGTGAGTACGAGTGGATCTTTAAGTAGTCGACGACAGCAGAACTTTACCTTCAAATGTTGTAAGTATCTGCTGATCATTTATGTCGCGTGATTTTCTCAAAGTGTGAAATCAAATCCATCACAAGTTGACGAAGACAAGCTCCCAGGAGACGGCACTTGAGCCAGCAGCGCAACGGCCTCTTCAGGGTGGCTGTTCTTGATATGCCTCGACAAGTTATCGCCACGGCTACCCTTGAACTCGGCTGAGCAGATGTCACAAGTAAGAGTAAACTTCTCGTGGACTGATCTCTGATGTCGCTCAAGATCTCTGCGCGTGCTGAAACGGCGATCGCAGCCCGCCGAGGTGCAGCCGTGGGGTCGTCGGTGGCAGCGCAAATGTTCCCTTTTTTCGAGTCAGCTTTTGCACATGAATAATTCACGGGCAATACAAACATCAAGCGATCGACTTCGCCGGCGAACTTTTGGCAAACCGGGCAGGTGTGAATATCCGAGGTCACCAACCGACTGGCTCTGAGACGCTTGGATTTTGCTGGAACTCGACGTGTTCTGGTGCGGCCTGTGCTACCGATCTTGTGCTCATCTGACATCCGATTGGGTTGAAGAGGCCGGAGGGGACTCCCAAGTTCTCCTGGATTGCCATCGATGAAACTTTGCGGTGCATTGTTGCCACCCAAAGACTTCGGAAGGGGTTGAAGTGTAGCAGACACCAAGCCAGTCAACCATGGATCTGTGGGATCAAGTACAGGCTGGTGACCGATATCTTCAGCGCAGAAATTGGACGGCAAAAGCAAGCTGAACTGGTCCAGCATTGACATAGGTTGCGAGGGTTGCTGAAGAGAGCCACTGATGAAACTCTCATGCTCTGTCAAGGGAGCTCTCTGCCAAAATGTCTCGTCAGATAACGCGTCGATGTTATGGCCGTGTTGAGTGCCATTCACTGAGCTGTCGCGAGCGTTGTGAGTCTAACACAACGGGGTCAGATCATCAGCAAGTAAAGGCCTATCATCGTCACTGACCTCGCTGGCACCGTGCAAAAAGGTGCTATAATCCTCGAGCGCATTTTGAACGGGATAAAGGCCTTCTGAAAACAGAGCGTTGTGGCTGCGATCCGTGGAGGGTTCCAGGGATGCTCTCAGCGAGGCAGCATTAGGTTGCCAGATGCCCTGACGGTAAACTGAGCCAAGATGCCATTGTGCATCCTGATGAGCGGCACTACTGGATTCACCAAAACATCCAATGCCGAAACCGTTCCAGCTCTTCTTGGAACTCGAGTGTTGTGCAGCGTTGGGAGGATAGAAGTCGTTGTCTGCTCCCACTTGCCGGGGAGAGGTCGATTGTCTCAAGATAGCATCGTAGTTTCTGGCAAGATATACACCTTTAGAACGGGGTCTGAATGAAAGGGTCTCAAGGGCCAACATACTTCAGACTCGGCGAGAGTGGGTGATCAAGATGGCTCGGCCTCGAAAGGTGTTTGCCTGCAACTGGTCTCAAACTGTCAGCCATGATCGGGCAGTTATCCGCAACAATATCACAAAGAGTACTAAAAAGATCCAACGTACGACAACTGAAGCCATATCTATAATTTATGTTCGTCAATGAGCGATGATCAATGAGTCTGTTGCCAGAAAGGACAGGAAGAGGGCGATTTCCGTGCCACTTTATACAACTTCCCAGAAGACCCATTAAACCATGATGAACTGGAAATGGATGAAAAGGTCGCAAGAGGCAGCCAGAAGGCAGCCACTAATTCCAAAACCCATGAGAGCCAAGATGCCATCGTACAGGAAAATAGCCAATAAGAACTATCAATCTCAGCCCGGATCGCGTGTTCATTTTCAGAGGCCACACCGCTATACCCTCAAAGCACGACGTGGAAGCTACTTACTGGAGGTTGTCGGCCTTCGTGCGGCTGATTACAGAGGCCACTATGAGCCTCACGTATGATTCTCCCCGCAATGTCGAGAACGTGGAGGGGGAAGGTAAGCGCTAAATGCCCTATCATTGCCCAGCTTGGGCGAATTTGTCCCCCCCTGCATCAGCCCATGCATGATTTGAGGCCACCAAGTGCTGGGTATGGGTTGTCACCAGAGGCCCAGACCCTTCAATTGTGAGGCTCTGGGCCTCAAACGCCAGACATCGACTAGAAATGAGGAGGCTCTAATCAGCCAACTCCCGAAGGCTGCTGGCATTTTATGGATTACCCAGACTGGATACACGCAAGACGAAAGCGAGAGGCTGATCTCAAAATAGTGACGTGTTGTTCTACTTACACAAGCGATGCGATTCTTTTGTAATCCAGACAAATGTACGGGCGGTGGGTCTCTGCCGACCGCCAAAAAGAGCAAGTTTCTTCCCGAAAACATTCCAGTTTTGTCCCACGGGGTATCTTTTCCGTCCAACGCCAGGGAAACCCTCAAAGAAAAATCCATCCCCATGTCCTTTCCTTTCCTTTCCGTAGGTATATACATACCGAAAAGCCATAGCCAAACCGAAGGGGCGGGGCAGTAGCAGTAGCAGAGAGTCGGAGCCGGTCATGTTGAAGTAATAGAAATCAAGAAAAACGCGGGAACAGAGACAGAGAGCAATGCAGTCTCAGTAGTATCCGCGACCCTTGCGACGATCGTGGTGACGACGACCTCCGCCGCCGCCGCCGCCCCAGCCTCCTCCGGCGTCGTGACGCTTGTTCTCGCGGTGGGCGTGGTTGTTCTGCTGGCGCTCCGGCTCGACGGGGACCTCGACCTCGACCTCGTAGTCCTCGTACTCGTCCTTGAAGTAGGGCTCGACCTCGCGGCGCTCGCGGCGGGCCTGCTCCGGGTCGAAGACGAAGCGCATGGTGCCGTCCTGGCTGCGACCGTTGCGCTTAGCGGAGTTGCTACCAAAGAAGCTGATGTTCTTGAGGACCGAGACCCCGTTGGAGAGGTTCTCCTCCTCGCCGCCGTCGCAGTTGTTGCACCAGTGGGCGTAGCGCACGAGCTTGGGGTCGTTGTCGACCTCACTGTTAATGACGATCTTGACTTCGATGAACTTGTTGAGGTCGAAACGGTTGCCGAGCTTGGTGGACTTGCCGTGCTGGGTGTAGAGGTCAAGGAGGTCGAGCATGGTCTCGACGACGCTCTGGCGCGTGGTGTGGTACTCGGCGAGGTCGATCTTCTCGACCTTGTCGACGCCGGTGCCGAGGAGGCGGGCGGTGAGCTCAAGGACACCGAGGGCCAGGGCGAAGGTCGGCTGCTTGATGGGCGCAAAGGTTTTGTACAGGTCAATGCTCATATCAAAGGCTGTGACGAACACCTCCTTGGCGTCCGCGCCCATGGTCTTCTTGGTGACTTTCTGCAGGATGCCCTGGGGGTAGCGGCAACGGAAGTCAAAACCGATGGTCTCGAGGATCAAGCGCTCCAGACCGATGACAATCTTGGACGGCTGCTCGAACATCTGGATCGTGTCAGTTTCAAGCCTCTAACGTCGTGAGGAAGCGTAACAACGTACCTTATCATCTTGAGTCGTGGGATGGTCCGGATTCTTAATGTTGTACGCGGCACACAAGAGCTCCTTTGACTTCTTGATAGTGTCCTCGACCTTGCAGGCGAGGAAGAGGCACGCCATAGCAGCGTCCTGGTAGTTGTACTCCGCATCTCGGAACGACAGACGGAACCAGTGGTAGTAGACACAAGCAGTGTCAAACGTCTTAACCGGGCTGGAGGAATGTTAGCCATGATCCTGTGCACAAGCGGACATCTCGCAGAACATACACATGGAGAACGGTGCGAACGTTATCGAGCAGCTGGACGCCCTGCAGACGGTAGCTATCCTCCCTAGCTGGATCGCTCTTGTTGTCGCGGAGCATGCGTCTCAGGCGCTGTTCGCTGGTGTACTGGCACGACACCTGCATGTGGCCCGGGTGAGGTCCCTTGGGGATCTTGGACTCAGCCGCAGCCGCAGGCGCGGGCGTGGAGTTGTTCGTGGTGGCATTGCCCGAGGCCGTAGCCTGCTGGGCCTTGGGGCCGGAGGGAGCCATGAGGATGAATGCGTAGCGGCGCTCGAGGTAGAAGGGATCGTCGGAGCTGTCGCTGCTGCCGCTGCTGCCGCTGCCGTAAGCAGAATCGACCAGAGTCTTGGAATCGTCGGAGGAGTCGTCGCCGTGACGATTTCCTTGGAAGGTCTTGTTGTCACCAGCACCGTCGTGACGGGTATCTTGGTTGTTGTCGCCCTCGTCGGCCGTGCTGTATCCGGCACCGAAGTCGCAATTGTCCTCGTCGTACTGGGTGTCCTGGTAGCGAGGCTTGTTGTTGCCACCAAAGGGGTTACCCGGGTCAGGCTTGCCCTCGTCGTCGCGATCGCTTCCGTTCTTGTCGTCGCGGTGCGCCTCCGTGCCCTCGCCGACAAATGTAGTGCTCTCCTCCTCTTCCTTCTCTTCCTCGGACTCGCTCTCGCTGTTGCGCTCGATGTCGGTAGGAGGGTCCTGCTCGTTGTCGATGTGAAGCTGTCTAATGAGATCGCGAGTAGCAGGAGCGGGTTGCTCGTTGTCGCCGGGCTCGTCGTTGAGTTCGTCGTGGGTAAGAGCGTCACCGTTGGTCGACGTGGAATATGCACGAGGACGGTAGAGGTCCGAGAACCAGGTATAGTCGTCAAAGAAGACCTCGTTACCTTCGAGAGGTAAGTCGGCTATCGCGTGTTCACCAACAAAAGCGAGCTGCTTCAAAGTTCTATCGGTGACACGATGACCCCAAATCTCCAGAGCTTTTTGGTAGAACTTGGCCAGAGGAGCTGCCGAATGCGCAAATGGTGGAGGTCCGCCAGAGGTTGCCGCGTGCCAGACAACAGTTCTGGTCTGCACGGACCACTGCGAATGGTCAGGGTGGGGGACCATTCGGAGTCGGAGACGGGGCGGGACTGTGTCTCGGTCCTCCCGGCCGATGATTCGGACGGGCCGGGGGTGGTTCCCCGCCTCCAAGTCGATGGTCTTGGTGGCATTGGAGACCTCTAGGATGTCGGTGCGGGCTAAATAGCCATTGAAATTCATCATTCCCGCGGGAATGATTCCGGGCGCCTGAACACATGGCGTTAGCAATCACGAATAATCAGGGAGTGAAGACCAGAGGGAGGGGACAGCAATGAGTGATGAATAGCAATGACATTAACTATGCCGTATACTGTAGCAATGTTATGAAGCCCGTCTTCCAGATTGTGACCCCAAGCAGGTGGTCATGTGCTGCTTGGTGATGGCGACAACATGGAGTCGTAGAAGAAAATTCCCGACGAAAATGATTTCTTAGAGAAAACGAAAAGAGGAAAGAAATCGGCCGAGTCGCTACCGGCAAGCCGGATTCAGGGGTGTATAGGGGTTGGGAAAAATCCGTGCTGTCGTCGTCGGCCAAAAATGAAGCCATCGCGATGCGTCGATGGGAAACCCCCTTTTGACGACGGCGACGACGACGACGACAGCGGCAACAACAAACCGAGGCAAAAACATAGGAGATTTTCAGGAGACCAACGTCCGCCTTTCGAAACAACTTACCGCCATCGTATCAGAGCGAGATCAAGCTGGACAAGGAGTCGGTAGCGCGAGAAGCCGGGCGTGATCGAGCGAAGCAATCGAACGGCCGCGAAGGCGATCGCGAAGAGGGTCGTAGCAGGAAGTCGAAGAAGCAGGAAGCGAAGAAGTCCTCTCGGAACTCACCAGTTGATAGCCAAGTCCAGAAGAGACCAGCTGGTGATGGAACACTGCGAGGAGCAAACAAAAGCAACAAGGTCGAGGTGAAGGTATTTTGTGCGTGTTTTATTTTCCCTGGCGACTCCAAGAAGTAGGTACAAAGGTTTTTCAAATGCCATCCATTGCTCTCCCCTTATCCAACCCCTCGCTAAAGAGACCCAAAGAGAGGGAGGTGCCTCGCGGCCTCGTGGGGACAAGGCTCGGCGAGGATTCACTTCAGCTACAGTTGAGCTGTGTTCTCGCGAGATGCGGGTCCTCCTCTGCCATGATGCTGTTTCCCATAGGCTGTGGTTTGTCGTCTAGTCAACTAGATACCTGTAGCGGAAGTTAGCATCGTGCTTAATCTGGACCCCAAGGACAAACAAGTGTTTAGGGATACATCAGAGTGTTGCATAGTTTCATTGTAAAGACTCAATCCCGTCTTGAAACATTGTTGAGTGGATGCAAGTCATCATGCTGAGAACCTGGGCAGAGGGAAGAAAAAGTCGTACTGACATACCTAAAATGTTGACGAGCTGGATCCGGCACCGGCAACAATAACGACATCGTGGAAACCGCCTTTTACAACGCAGTCCTCCGACAACCAATGACCGGTATCGAATCCGTTGCCCGGTGCCATCCTCCAAACCCCTCCTCTATTCCTGGCAAGTGTCCTCGACCTGAGGAGCACGACGGTCGATGACCGGAACCTCGGGGGCGACCGTGTTGGGGTCCATCGTCGGGACGTTGAAAGTCTGCAGCGGAGCCGCAATGACGGCGACCGGGAAGAGGACGTAGAGAACCTTTGAGAACTGCATTTTAACTGTCGGGCTGCAGGAACAAGAACGTGGAAATAAGTTGGGAGGAAACGACTGCAGGGACGAAGAACGCGGACGGTGCAAAACGACTGTTCGGACTCTTCAGCGACTTTGCAGAAAAGAGAGAATAAGAGACTTCTATGGGCGAAATGTGGTGTTTCAAGAATGCCGATTCAGCGGCGCTTCGTCCATACTTATGGGCGAACCGCTGCCACGGTCGTCAGGATCCGTGACAATCGACCGAACACGCGCTGTCCGAGCCAAGCCCATCCCCGCCAAGATCGGGCGATCAGCGTCAGAGGAGCTCTGTGTCGTTGCTCAGCCATGTGAGGTATGGGCAATTCAACAGCACAAACACAGCCCGCTGCCGTTTTCTTCTTCGTCATGCAATCCTCGGCGGGCAGCAGTCGTCAGCCGCGTTTGAAACAGGGGAGCATCTTGGAGGATGTGCCCTGAGAAGCGTTTCAGACGGCAGGGCAACGTGGGATCTACCCGCCTGGCCCTTGTCGAGCTTTGGGATGCGCGCTTCTTCTTTCTCGTCGTGAAAACCCTCCGTCCGGGAGTTCGTAGCCCTGCAGTAGACCGGCGCTTGAAGGTGCGCCACGCCCGCAGGATTCGGGACGAGACTTTTGACGGACGATGGCTTGAGGTCAATGACGGTGGAAGATCTCCAAGCTTAGGGAGGCAGAGGATGATGCGGTTGGAGCTCTGGGACGCTAACTCGTTTTTAGTAATCTCAGCTTTGCACGGACCATCTCCTGCAGGACCCAGGGCGGTCGGCCTCTCGGAGCGTCTTCAACGCAGTTGGCGCTGTCCGTGGCCAATGAGAAGCTTCAGTGGTACCTAGTAGCCCAGACCGATAACCAAGCTCGCCCAAAGCTGGGCAGGTAGTGTCGTCAGCGTCCCTTGCCAGTTGCCACAGGCAGACATTCCCGTCGGCTTCACAGGATCTCCCTCCAGAGAATCTCCCCATTGTCACCTTTCCAACACAACGTTGGTTTTCTTACCTTAGTCTAGCACTGGTAATCCTCAGAACAGACAATCAAAACATCCATCACGACCAAACATGAAGTCTCTTTCCATCTCCAGGCTGCTCACGGCCGGCTCCCTAGCGGCCGTCGCATACTCCGCCGCCGTCCAGAGGCCCCTCGCCGACGACGCCAACGACGACCACCCGATCCCCCTCATCATCTGGCACGGCCTCGGCGACTCCTACGACGGCGACGGCATCAAGCAGGTCGGCGAGCTGGCCGAGGCCATCAACCCGGGCACCTTCGTCTACAACGTCAAGATCGGCGCCGACGCCAACGCCGACCGCTCCGCGACCTTCTTCGGCAACGTCACCTCCCAGCTCGAGCAGGTCTGCGCCGACCTCGCCGAACACCCCATCCTCTCCACCGCCCCGGCCGTCGACGCCATCGGCTTCAGCCAGGGCGGCCAGTTCCTCCGCGGCTACGTCGAGCGCTGCAACAAGCCCCCCGTCCGCAGCCTCGTCACCTACGGCAGCCAGCACAACGGCATCGTCGAGTTCAAGGCCTGCGGCGCCACCGACTTCCTGTGCAAGGGCGCCATGGCCCTGCTGCGCTTCAACACCTGGTCCTCCTTCGTCCAGAACCGCCTCGTCCCCGCCCAGTACTACCGCGACCCGGCCCCCGACCAGTACGAGAAGTACATCGAGTCGTCCAACTTCCTCGCCGACATCAACAACGAGCGCGAGCTGAAGAACGTCGAGTACAAGAAGAATCTGGCCAGTCTGTCCAACTTCGTCATGGTCATGTTCGAGGACGACACCACCGTGATTCCCAAGGAGACTGCCTGGTTTGAGGAGGTAAGGACCTACTCATATGATGTGAATCCTTAGGTCAATGATGCTAACGAGACAGGTCAACGGCACGGAGAGCCTGCCGCTGCGCGCCCGCCAGATCTACAAGGAGGACTGGATCGGTCTCAGGGAGCTCGACCGCAAGGGAGGACTCCGCTTCCGCCAGATCCCCGGTGACCACATGCAGCTGACCGAGAAGAACCTGAACAAGACCATTTCCGAGTTCTTCGGTCCCTTCAAGAAGCGCTTCGCCTCCGAGAAGACGTCGTTCGCCTCTGAGGAGTTGTGAAGAATTGGAATACAGTACCATGAATAGGAAAAGAGAGAAGAAAAAACGGCGCGCGCGCGTAGGTAATAGGGCAAATTGTACACTAGGTCTGATTGATAAATCCCTGACACAAGAGTTCTCTGGTTATTTTTGATCTGAACCAACGCCATACGCCTCGAACCATGCATGGTATAATCCCGCAGGAATCCCCCTCCCCTTTCCCCTCCTTTTTTATGGATGTCTTCTTCGCGTGATTCGCAAAGTCTAGTTGTCCACGGCAGCCTTGGCCTTGGCCTTCTGCTTCTTCAGCTTCTCCTTGCGCTCCGCCGCGATCTTCTTGTCGAGCTTGTCGTCGTTGCTCTCGGGCAGCGCCTTTTGCGCGGCCTTCTTGGCCTTCTTGGTCGTGGGCTTGCTCTCCTCCTCGTCCTGCTCCTCCTCGGCGGCGGCCTCGATCGACTTGCGCTTCTTGCCGACGTTGGCCTTCTCCTTGATGGCCTTGGCCTCCTCGCTGTTGTCGGCGACGATGTCCTTCTCCTCGAGCCAGAGCTCGTCCGTCAGCCAGATGGGCAGCGCGGCCGTCTCCTGGCCCTTGATGTAGATGCTCTTGACGTTGGCCCACTTCTGCGGCACCCACTTCTCGACGAGCGCCTTGACGACGGCCTCGACGTTCTCGGCCACCTGCGCGGCCGTGAAGCCGGCGTAGCCTATCCGGATGGCCGTGTTGGTCGAGGGGGTGAGGCTGACGAGGGCGGAGCCGACGGCCTTTTCGATCTCGGCGGCGATGTCCTGCGGGGAGCCGACCTTGGAGGCGGCGCCGCTGCCTTCCTGCTGCTTCTGGCGCTTGCCGTCGACGCGGGCGGGCTTGGGGGAGAGGACGACGGGGATGGGACGCTTGGCGGTGGTCTTGTAGAAGGTCTTGCCGAGGGCCTTGGGGAGGCGGTTGACGATGCGGTCGTCGGCGAGGAAGACGTCGTGCTCGGCGTAGAGCTTGCGCTGGGCCTCGTACTGCTTCCACTTGGACTTGAGCTTGCCGAGGTCGACGACGCGGGTGATGCGGGCGCGGAGGGCCTCGGGGAAGTCGTCGGAGGCGATGACGTCCTTGTAGGCGCGCTGGGGGTCGGCGGTGATGAGGCATATCGTGGACTCGTCGTCCGTGTTGAGCGGGTGCGGGAGGGCGATCTTGCCGGGCTTGAGGCGGTTGGTGTCGGCGATGTGGCGCTTCGTGGTGAGGGTGAGCCAGATGGGCGAGCGGGCGATCTCGGCCTCGTCTTCGGGGTCGGCGAGGAGGTTCTTCTTGCCGGAGGACTCGGCCTTTGCGGCGGCGGCCTTCTTGATGTGGGCGAGGAGAGCCTTGGACGCCTTCAGGGTCTGGTAGTTTTTTCTGCGATTAGCGATTGGAAGGTCATGGCGAATTGAACGGGGGTTTCTCACCTGCTCGGGGTCAATTGTGGGCGCGACATCTTTCGATGCGACGGCGACGGTCTTTGAGGGGGCCATGACTACAGATGTTGTGGTGGAACGTCTGTTTGTTCTGGCTGGGAGGATGGGATGCAGGATATCTTCACCAGCAGATATGGTGGGGAGTTTTCTGGCGGTTGTCCAAAAATTTTTGGGCAGGGATCATGACTTATCGGCGAATGCAGACCGCCGGAGCCGATCTGCACGGTCCATCTTGCAATCGATAAGAACTAGCTTATCGATAAGATTTGATGGTAACTGATAAGATCTTGTCCTTACTCACCGAGGTGACGACTCGGTGAAGACGTCAACCGCCAACATCTATGTGAGGGGTGTTAAAGAGTTGGCTGAGGGGCAATTGGGATACATGAGGACGGGGAACGTTATTGGGAGTTATTTTCAGTTGTAAATAGTTGTGGAGGTTGAATTTCGCAGCGCGTCGTCTACCTGCGGGTTGGCTATGTATTGACGCGTTAATTGGCTTTCGGCATCGCGTCTGCGAGCCAAGTGCACATTCAAGCTGACACCTCAACTCATGACTGAACAGCTGAGAAGCGCATTCGGCATTTGATTCTCCCCAAAACTATAGGAAAGATCAAATAACGTTCCTAAACGTTTGTGGGCGTGTGCTGAATGCTGCTCCCTCACCCAACCGGTCAACCGTCAACTGGGTCTTGATACATGGGATCTCTGTCTCACACTCTGAAAACGGGCAACGACAAGCCTGATGCGTGCCAACCCAAACGAGAGCAGTGGGACCGGTGTCAATCCAATTGGGAACGCCGGGATCATTTAAAAAAACCTGTCAAAGGCTCAGCGGGTCGTGTGAGCAGGAGCGCGACTTGCGTTAGCGATGCGGGGTGGACGCGGCCATGACTGACGGTTCGGGAGGCGGGCTCAGGCTCGGCCGTCTGGCGTTCCTGACACTTCATTTCCCCAAAGCCACCTGTCAGCTCGTCGTCGCGCACAGGACCACAGTAATCTTGTGTTCGACTTGTTGCTGCTGCAAAACAAGACAATTAGCTAGCAGATAAGAGGAAGAGGGATGATTGTGGTTCAAGAAAAGGCGGGCGAGTGTTATATCATGGCCGGGCCAGTGGATATGGACCAGAACAGGGTTCGTGGGTTGAGACCACTTTACGCGAACCAACACGTTCCCGCGATGCCTCGTTTCAACCCCTTCACTTTTGGTGCAACTCTTTTTTTTATGTATGGCACTGGAGCACTTTATGGCTCGTGTTTCTGCAACCCGGTCTCTGGGCGGGACAAGGTCTCACAAAGACGGACAGGCAGCACATGCTCGTGGCAGAAACAGGAAGCAGGTGAGGAAACGGGAACCAATGGGTTGTCGAGATTCGTACGATCCATGTAGCCAACAAGAGGAGCATCGGCGCAGATACTGGAAGCGAAGGGAGCCACAGCCACAGGGATGGATGGAAGTGAAATATCAGGCAAGAGGGCATGTGGGAATGCATCCAATGTTCTAACTTACACAGAGGGACGCGCTGGTAATGTACGGGCTATGTATCCGAACATGGCATGTATTATTGGAAGCCACTCTGCAGAGACACGCTTCTCCGGCCAGGCTTTGGCTTGCCAGGGTTAAGAAGAGCCATTGGAGGGAATAAGGGAAAACGGGTTGAGCAGCGGTTCTCGGCGCTAAAATTGCGTTCTTCAGCGTTCTGCGCCGTTGGGACTTGCCCCGTAAGAGGAAGGATGGATGCTGACCACAGCTGGTGAGAGACGGCAGACGCGCATCGGAAGTTGACGTGAGTCGTACCTTTTTTTTTTTTTTTTCCCTCTTTGTCTTTTTGGTGGAGACGCGATTCGGGAGGCTGGAACGGAGCAGGACTCGACGTGGATGAGGGGCATTTGTGTCCATTGTGAGGTCACAGACTGCGAAGTTTTTGAAGAAGAGATGGCTGGTAAGAAAAGGCGGTCTAATTGAGTGAGAATATTGAACTTGACAAGAAAGAAAAAAAGAGAAGAAAGCAGCAGATAGCCGTGTCTTCGTGATGGTGACACCAGCTCCCGTCTACAGCGGACGGGAAGCACAATTTAGAGCCGTTAAAGCTCAGATAGCGGCCCGCGTCAGCCCTGACAGTCGACCGAGCTTCATCTTCTAGCGCTTGCATGGAGATCCCGGGTGCGCTAAATCCACTGTAACCGCCATCCCGACAGCGAGCGAAGCTCCACCATGAGCACAACTTGCACAGCACAAGCAGGGCAGGACGCGGGGGACGCGATCAACGCCAACGCGCAAGAACACGCTCAGGTTCGCTCCTCCCACAACCGGTACTAACGCCAGCACCGCACCTGCCAGGTAAGAAGGGGGGGCCATCAAAAAGGTCTCGTCCCCGTCCGACCAGCTTTCCTGCCCGCCTCACGCACCACGCACACACTTCTGGGCCTCCTTCCACCAGACCTGCAACCACTTTGACGGTTTTTTTGCACTCAGATTTTATACCTTGGTGAAAATATCTCCAAGAGCACAGTCCTTTCCCTTTTCACCCTTCGTCCTGTATATCCATTATCACCTCTCTCACCCTCACCTCCGCCTACCGGCCGTGTCCTCCCCGCGAAACCACTTACACGCGATTCCACTCTACGCCAAAATCCACGCCTGATATTGGAGCACCGACACCGCGCCTACCAAAAACGCGAACGTCCCCAACGCGGTGGAAGGATACTGGAGAGAAAAAAAATCATCTACAAGGACGAGAATAAGGAACAAGACCAACAACACTCGGGGTAGTCATTCTTTCTGGCTGGGCATGTTGTCGTCGCCGCAATGATGGACTCGTCGCCTCAATCCAAGAACCCGGAGCCCACGCTTCCCATGGCCGGCACCAAGCGTCCTGCTCCGAGCCTCCTCCCGGCCTTCGAACCTCTCTCTTCCTCCCCGGGTTTTCCTCGACCTTCCAAGCGTCAAGCTCGTCCCGGTTCCGTCGGAGGAAACAACGCATACCTCAAGTATCCCACGCCCATTCCGACTTCGAGCACCGGCATCCTCTCGTCTTCCCCACCCCGTGTCCACCACCGCTCCGCCGCCTCGCGGGCTCTGTCTGCCGCCTCCGAACGCACGCCCCTAGGTTCCGTCCCCTCCATTGAACTTAACGAGAACGGCGAGACCCTGCTCATGGGCCGATCCAGCAATTCTTCACACTACCAGCTCTCCGCCAACCGTCTCATATCTCGCGTGCACATCAAGGCCCGTTTCGTGCCTGCTCCGTCCGCCTTGGAGCCGAACAAGATCGAGATTCAGTGCAATGGCTGGAACGGACTGAAGCTGCACTGCCAGGGCCGCACTTGGGAGCTTCTCAAGGGCGATTCCTTCACCTCTGAGACGGAAGGCACCGAAATCATGCTCGACGTCCACGACGCACGCGTCATGATTCAATGGCCGAAGCGGGACCACCGCGACCGCCTCGCGAGCCCCGAGTCCCAGTGGGACGACTCCCCGCCCCGGCCCAATGGCCGTGCCGCCGCCGCCGCCGCCAACCTTCTCCAGTCCAGCCCTCTGCGCCGCACTTCCCGCATCGAGTCCCCGGATTCCCCGACCCCAGCTCATATGACCAGCTCTCAGCGCCTGCAAGCTCTTCTGCCCACTGATGATGGCGAGGTTCACATCTACGAGGACTCCAGCGCAGAGGAGCCGGAGCTTCCCAAGCTTACTGACTCGGGTGTCAATGTTGGCCAGAGCTTCGCGACCGAGGCCACTAACTCTTTCTCGTCCGACCTTAGCGAGCCCGAGGACGAGAACTATCCTGATGAAGAAAATGATCCCATTGTTCACTCGTTTGGGCCTTTCGGAGCTGACATCTCCAACCGTCTGGCCTCTGTGCTGTCTTCTGCGCCAAAGTATCCTTCCTCCAAGCACTCGCGGCTGTCGCCGGTCCGCGACAACTCAAACCCCTCCAGCCCAGTCTCCGCGCCCCCCAAGTCGCCCGAGGTCAAGGAGGAGGAGGAAGAGGAAGTGAGGCAGCCTCCTTACGAGAACTCCGCCGTGCGTAACCACGTCGTCAACCAGCTCGCCTTCTCCCGTCTGTCGTCCAACCCGTTGTCGACCATCATGAACAACCTTCCCACAGAGGAGAAGAGGGGTTTGGCCAAGGAGCAGCTTAGGAGCCTCCTCGAGAACACGGCGTGCATCGGCATCATTACACGTCAGGGCAAGGATGCCGCCGGCAAGCCCCTCGAGAGCGAGTACTACTACGTCCCTGAGGCCGACGATGATGAACAGCGCCGCTTCGCCGTCACTGACGGGCTGCGGAAGCCTAGTCTGAGAGCTTGCAGAAAGCAGCACAAGGTGAGATCTGTTGACATCGAGAGGAGGAACGTTCCAACTAACGCGTCGGGCTTAGCAATACTACTGGAAACGCCCGCGAACCCCTTGAATGATTCCTACTCTGGCTTTTATACCATGTGCATTTTTGGCTTGCATCCAGCAACCTTGCTCAAGCTGAGCTGTTGCCATGAACGACACGTCCTACATGGCACAGCCCTCACGCCACCTTCCTACTGTCCATGACCTTGGCTTTAAACAAACCACCCGTTTGGCAAACTTGTCTGGCTGCATAGCGCAAGGCGTTTCATGGATCCTGTTGGTTGTATTTGTATTTCTTTTCCTTTTTATCTGTACGATTCACACTACTATACCTCGGGTATTTTTTATCCCCATCGATTCCCCCCATAAAACAAACACCCGCTAGATGAGACACATGCATTCCCGACACCGGTCCAGGTTAACCGATTTGGAGCGAGCAGCAGCTGTGCATTATTAGGTTGAATTTTTTCCCCGATTCATGTGTTTAGCGGGGCTTGTGGTTCAGAGCGTTGGATGGAGGGCGGGGAATGGCAATTGGTAAGGACGGGATGGGACGGGGGCGGTCGGTCGGTCGGGAACACAAAAACGGGATTGACGAGGTGATGGTGGAAATGTAAAACGTCGACGACACGCTTGAATCAGGTTCTGGTAAATAACATGTTCTTTTTCCCCAAGGCGTACTTGTTCGGTCGAGGTATGGTGTTTCTGGTGAGGTGTTGCCGCGGTGTTGCCCATGTCGAGGTCCTCGCTATTGCTGGTGGGGTCACCGTATTGCTGCTGTCTTCGATGTTACTGTCATTGTCACCACTGTAGTCGCGAATCCTCGGCCGAGAGGCACGTAGGAAATATGCGTCGAACAGCCTTTGAAGGTTACATGGTCCTGAGATGTGATTGGAAGTCAAAGAACAGCTTTGAAGAACATCTGGTCTTGAAACTCAGTCAGCATGTATCGATCCATCAATCAATCTTTCAAGGAAGTATAGTCTTGAAACTCAGTCAGCATATATCGATTCGTAAATCAATCTTTCAAATGAATATGGCCTTAAAACTCAGTCAGTATAGATCGATCTATAAATTAATCTTTCAAGGAAATATGGTCTTGAAATACGGTCCGCTCTTAGGTTGATAGGTACAGGTACCTTACCCGCCGCCTAAAGAACGTGCCCCCGCGTCCAGGCCTGGAGCTTCGCCTGGCTCGTCATTTTCTTTCGTACCTCCCAGCATGGTCCGAGCCGGCATTCTCAAAATAAACTCAAAATCGCGTCAATGGCATCCCAGGAACGATTTTCCCGGGGAAGAACGGTGTTCAACATCCGAGAGGTCGGAGGACGTGTGGTTGCACCGGAACAGCTCGTGTGGGTCCCACAGGTCCTTTCCCCCCGCCCCCGCTCCGCCGGCCTGCCGATGAGTGGAGCTAAACAGGTAACCCGGGGCCGGGAGCTGAGGCCTGGCCCAGGCCCTCCACGTCTCGACCGATTTTACCCCGCAATGGCAATGACAATGACGGAGCTGGCTTTTTTACTTCGTTCCAGCTCATACCACCATCTCCAGCAGTGTGTAACACGGATCTTTAACTGGTGAAAACAATCTATCATGGCCGGTATTGTTTGCCAGCGGGCATGGACTCAAGATACTAACTAGAACTGGGAGTGAGGTGCTTAAGTATATGCATTATCAACCAAGTCGTTCCGATACGAAGCTGTAGGATAGGTAAGAAGGTATGGAATATGCTGGGAAGAAAAAGCATGTGCTTCCGATTATGTCACAGGAAATGCCTGGACCGGGACGCCTCACCACCACCATCATCAGTGGCAACGCACCTCACACAACACACAGCGGCGAAAAATGATGTTATGCCCCGCGCGCCGGTGTGATCGTCGTCCCATGTCCAACCCACCAATTCTTCTAGTAATCACACCTCATCGGACGCTAACTACCTTACGACCCGTTCGCAAGAGGCGCGTTGCGGAAAAGGTGAGGTAGGGTGTCACGGTTGAGTTGGTCTCACTTGCCTTGCCTTACAATCAGAGGTGGCTGGCTGCAAGAAGGAAAGAGGGGGTTCGCGGGGAAGAGGGAGGGGTGGGAAAGCTTGAAGGTGCATTGGACCCTTGAAAAGGCGAGAGCTTGGGAGGAGGGTGGTTTGATAAAGGGAAGCTCCCGCCTACCTCCCCCGTCCGTTGATGGTTTAATTTCACTTCATTCCAAACAAGAAGTATAAACATCCCCCAAAATCCATCTACACATCGACAACCTACGCAACCACATCCAGACCTATCCTATAAACACCGCCAAACAAAACAAACGACCTACCACTCTCTCAATCCAAAAAAATCAAATATCCTTCACCAACAAAAACAAACACAAAAATGTCCTCCCAACCCTCCATGGCAAGCGTCGCCCCGCAAAAGGACGCCCCCCACGCCGACCCCCAGAACCCGTCTTCCCCCGCTGCCGAGGCCGCCCGCGTCATCGAGCGCACCAACAGCTGGAAGCCCTCGTTCGAGCGCCGCCCGAGCTGGAACAAGGAGGACCAGAAGCGCGAGCTGCAGATGAGCCACATCGAGGACGTCAAGACCGGGCCCGGCTTCACCGAGCGGGCGTGAACCGGCGTAGGACGTATGCTTTGGATTCGAGGGCACGAGGGTCACCCTGATATCGAGGAGACGAGGCGGATTCCGAGAGGGCTTCGTTCGCTGATGGAAGGGTAGCTTGGGCAGTTTGAGCACAATCGCGATGGGGTGCTGGGTTCGAAATACGAGGGTCATGAGGGCGTGGCGTTCAAAATAGCATTCACCTTTGTATTCCGTCAAACGATCACGTTTCATATGAATTGAGTGTGCCATTGTTTTCTGCAATCCTAACCTGCCATTCCGTACCGTCCGTCCCAAACTGCAAATAACTCGATATGACTGGAATCGAGAAACGACTATTCCCATCGTGGAGGGTACTACTCGTACACGAGAAAAAGGACTGCTGCTAACGCTGCGTACGCTGACCTTCGCATGGTATATAAACTAACACGAACTTGATGAAGCTGTCACACGAGACTGACGTGCCCTGTCTACAGCCCCTTGGGACCGCGGCCGTCCTGGCCTCCCGTCTTGAAATATTCCCCAACCACACCGATGGCGTATGAGACACCACCCAACCAAGCCGCCCCAAGGATGACCCGTCGGGTCCGGCTCCTCTTCGGCTTGCGACGGCTGAAATCCTGGTTGTCGCAAGATATTGTGTTGCGTCTCCTCAGCGGGCTGGAAGGCGGTGGAGGTTTGTCCTCCGCCTCCGCTCCTGGGTAATCATAGTTGAGAAAGCCTGTAGGACTGGAAGAGTAAGCGCTTGGTACTACGGGGTCGCTCCCCATCATGTCGATGGGGTTCACCTTTGGCGCCTGGTACGTCGTCGGCTTCTCGATGATCGGGGTTTGCGCGACCGGGGCGGCTGACTGGTCTACCTCCGCATCCCGTACCTTCCGAAACACCAGCACATCACCACTGCCGGATACAATCTCGTATCCTTCCTTCTGTAAGGGACTGAAATAGGGGAAGAACTTAGTGGGGTTTGACAGACGTGGCAGGACGTCTGCGGGACTGAGCGGCGTGGCGGCGCTGTTGGGGACCACCGATGTCGTCTCAGCCGAGGTGATACTTTGCATGGTAGGGTCGTAGGCGAGGATTTTGTATAAGACCGGCTCACTCAAGTCGGGCTTTGCCGCCGTGGTGTTGGCCTCCATCTCGCTCACAGTGCCGTACGATCGAACATACGCCGGCCAGGTCTGCTTGCCCCCGGTCTCCTCGGTGTAACTCAACTCGAGACCTTGAGGTTCTGTCGAGTACTGGTCCAAAGAGCCCTGACCGGATTCCCGTGGCTTAAAGGCAGAAGCCCGGTTCATCGCTGGCTCCAACCTCGGGAAGCTCTCGTCAAAAGACGCAGCCTCAACCTCGTCTCCCTTGGGGCTTTGGTACTTCGTGTCCTCGGCTTTGGGGCTCTCCGTGATGATCTTGCTCCATGACTTTGAGAAGTCTTCCGGGAAGTCTCTGACGTAGTTGCCAGTGAGGTCTTCCTTGGGCTGGATGCTGTCCCAAACCTTGCTTCTTGCCTTGCGCAGACTGACCCGAGCTGCCTTGCTGGAAATATCCCAATTGACCTCATAGCGGGGCAGGTCATCCTCGAGCACTTGTCTGTGAGTAGTGCTATATTCCCTGCGAGACTGGCCCGAAGAGGTCGGGATCTTGGCGCGAATGTCGCTGGCACGAAGCAGGTCCAAATCGTCTGCCCTCTCATTCTCTGTCGCGGTCGCTTCCACGGTCGAAGTACCGTATGTATTCAGTCGACGCATGTTCGCTTTGGCAGCGATTTCAGCATCAAAGTCGCTCAGGCCTTTGGAAACAGGATCCATCGTCTGGATTGGCTGACCGTGCGGCTCGTTGTACCGATATGACTGATACTTCTTCGCCTCGTCGAACGTGGTTTGGTCCCAGTCTGGTTTGGGGCGTTGACTCTCCGGCTGGTTATACTGAACGGGCTTGTGCTTGGCCATGTCCTCGGGTGCGATCGGGGCCACAGTGCTCTCTGGCAGCTGCCCATCACCTCTGGCAAAGGCGACTGGTCCGTACGTATTCAGATCAGAGTACTGCTTGGAAGCCTCCTCGGGATGCATCGGAGGCTTTCCATGAGGTTCATTCCAGCCGATGGGCTCATACTCTCCCAGGTCTGTGTAAGCCTTCGATGCCTCTTCGGGGTGCATCGGTGCCTGACCATGCGGCTCATTATAAGCCATCGGGCCGTACTGATCGAGATCTGGGTACGCCTTGGATGCTTCTTCAGGATGAATTGGGGCCTTCCCAAAAGGCTCGTTGTAGCCTACAGGGCCGTATTTGTGGAGATCATCATAATCCTTTGACCTCTCTTCCTCGGTAAGAGGACGCGCGCCCTCAGGCTCGTTGAAACCACTCGGGCCATACTTGTGAAGATCATCATAGGCAGTCTTCTCCTCAACGGCTGCGTCGCTGCCCTCATTGTGCATGACCGGGCCGTATTTGTTCAGATCGTCATACGTCTCGACCGCCCCTTGAATCTGAGCATCTTCGTTGTGCATCACGGGTCGATACTTGTCTAGGTCTTCGTATGCCGGCTGAGAAAGTTCCTCGGGCGTACCCTCGGTGAGCGATGGGTTGGCATACTTGTGGAGATCGTCGTATTTGGACTCGGGCGCGGGTTTGGCGTCTTCGATGAAGTCCTCAAGACCCACAGGCTTGTACTTCTCCAAGTCGTCGTACTTTGGCTCTTCTGAAACTTCTTGCTGGAGCTGTTTGGCATCGAGCGTCTTGTCCATGACTGGAGTGTACTTGTCCAGATCCGCATACTGCGGGGTCCCCGCATCTCCACTCTCGGCCCACGGGGTGCCATCGAGCGGGACCTGGCCGTACTGCTTTAGCTCTTCGGCAGGAGGTGGCCCGTCCTCGTAAAAAGGTTCGTGGACTGCATTGGGACTATCCGACTGGACCCTCTTGTTGGTAATGGGGTCGATTTCGACGCCTGCGTCCCTGCTGGCGGAGGTGGTTGACTTGGCCCGGACTTGACTGCCGAGGTAGTTGCGGATGTTTTGTAGAGGCGACTGCCAAAGATCGTACTCGTAGGACCCAGTGCGCTTCGAGGAGAAGAGGGCGTTGATGGCGCCGCGCTCGACGTCTTCAATGTTCTGGCCGGGACGGGTTCCTGGGACGTCGTCCGAGTTCACTTTGTCTTTCACATTTGTTCCTTTCGAGTGGGTATGGCCGTGTCTGATCCAGCACTGCGCCATCATGTTCTTCAGCACTATTCTTGAGTCCTCGGCACGCGAACTCGGATCCCATGACAGTTTCCGGTTTATTGACTCCATGTATTTGTAGCTGACTTGACGCTGGCGCTGTCGTAATTGACGCTGGAATTCGGGATCCAGATAGGTCGACCACGCGCGGAAGCGAAAGGTGCGAGTTTGGCCATAGTGGCTCGCCTTCGTGGGCGCTTGGCTCGCATGAGTGAAGGCTCTTAGGCCGCTCGCACGTGTCGAGGGTCGGGGCATGTTGGTGAGCATGATGAGGACGAGCCTAACGACACTGATCATCACCAAAAGTTAGCATTATGCAACATCGCAGACTGGGACGACGCATATGCCATTCGAGTACTTCTCGGAATAAGACAGCATTTGACGACGTGTACGACGACAACGACACCGACACCAGCAATAATGACGGGAGCTGGAAAAAAGGGACGAGAACGAGGAAGAGACCAGGAAAAACGACAGCCAAGGTCCTCGACAGCTGGATTCCGGCTTGCCAGGTTGTCGATTCTCTGGCACGTCAACGAACCAGAAGCACTTACACGAAGGAGAATTGAAGGGTATTGCGCGATGAAGCGCCCGCATATAGGCCGTTGGACACGATTCTTTGAAGTATGTAGTTCGAGAGTTGAAGTTCGGTAATCCGCCACCTCCGCAACGGCGAAAGGAAGAGGGAAGGTTGGCAACGTTGGTCGGAGCAGCGTGAGTTCAAGCGACCTGCAGCTGATGGCGAATGGGCAGATCAGACGGGACGAGGGAGCAGCAAGCGGCAATCCCCTGCGCCTGGCCGGCTTGGGTAACCCGCTAGGGGGATCGGGATCCACTGCCAACCTGCTCCTCCCTGGCGCTCTTCCCGCTAATGGCCTGGGGAGCATTTCATTTCCATGCGGGGTAAGGTGCCTCGTCTGCCTCTGTCGCCGCTTGAAACCGCCGAACTGCCCCGAATTGGCGACTCCAAGGCCGCCGGGGGGCTTCTGCGAACCTCAGCAGTCCACTGAAGCAGGTCACACCTTTCAACTGCTGCCGGCTGCACCTGATGTGGAGTCAATTCGAGTCGATGTCGAAATGGACCAATTGAACACCGCAGATAAGCCGGGGATCATGCAAGAAAGCACAGACGCTTTTGTGCACGGATGGGCCAGCCATCAGCAGCAAAAAGTCACGTGCGAGGGGCTGGCCGATGACCGCATCATCCCAGGGAGACGAGTTGGAGCTTGGGCGGGTCGGTATGGCCGTTTTCATTCGTCCATCTCAAAATCTATCGGCCTGAGTCAACAGTGTTGCTTCTTTCCCCGGTGTTTTGCAGCTTTCTCGTGAGGCCCTCTGGTCCTGTTCCGATTGCCTCACCAAACATAAATCCAAAGCGCGATGCGCCGAGGCCAATTCGAACATCTGCTCTGTTCCGTTTCTTGCACTTAAAAACTAAACACGACCTAATAAGGTCGGCAGATCTTCCCTTTGCTTTCAACCGTTCACATTTCTTTGCGCATTCATAGCGTTGCGCCTGTGCCACATATCTGCACTGTACCCCGCCAACGTCATTTTGAGCTCCAGAGACTCGACCTTACGCTGGGTCCCTCATCACGCAGACGTCCACCACTTTGCAAACCACACCAAACACCAGATCATGTCGCGAGCCTTCGGAAAAGGTGCGCGTTCGGCCGGCGCAAAAGGTTTTGGGTCCCCTGCGCGCGGGGGCTTCGGCGGCTTTTCTTCCTCGAACAATAATGGCTTGTCCTACCTTACCGAACCGCCCGACCTCTCCTCCATTTCCGATGCGAACGTCGTCGTCTCCTTCAAGAATACACTCAAAAAAGATGCAACCACCAAGGCCAAGGCATTAGAGGAACTCTTGGCATACGTGCAGGCTCATCCATACGAGAACAATGGTGGGACAGAGGAGGCAGTTCTGGAAGCTTGGGTGCGTTATCCCCAAGAGAAACTCGTTGATATTCAGCTAGTAATGCTTATAACAGGTGCAAATATACCCTCGTATATCCATAGACAATGCCCGCCGCGTCCGCGAACTCTCCCACACCTTGCAATTCGAGTTGATGAAGTCGGCTCGGAAGCGCATGGAGAAACATGTTCCCAGAATCGTGGGCACCTGGCTTGCAGGCCTCTACGATAAAGACCGCGCCGTTTCGAGGGCAGCAAACGACGGCCTTTCATCCTTCCTTAACAGTCCCGGAAAGGTCGTTCTGTTCTGGAAGAAGTGCCAGACACAAATCTTGACGTATGCGACCGAGGCCATTCAGGAGACAAAGGACACTCTGAGCGACGAGAGATCGACGACGCCCGACGACGCCGAGGCTAAATACCTGCGAGTTGTGGGAGCCAGTCTTTCTTTGGTCCTCGGCCTCTTGCAGAAGTTGGACGCGGCTGATGTCCAAAAAGAAGAGGAGGCATACGAAACGTTTTTCGCCGAGGAAAAGGTCTGGAAGAGCGCTCTCATGGCCGACAACTCGGTTCGAAAGACGGCCTGCCAGCTGCTGTGGATCTGCCTGGACAAGAGATTTGAGATGGTATCCTCTCAAATTTCTCGCTTGAAGAAGGTCTTTATCGTGGAGGGTCTGAAGAGCAGCCAGATAGGGTCCGCCATCGAGTACACCAGGATCCTCACGAAGCTGACGAACAAGTTTCCCGAAATCTGGTCAAGTTCGAGTGACAAGAAGACGCCGATTCACCGACTGAATGGCTTCTTAGAAAAAGGCTCCCAGGCCAGTTCTGTCAAGTACTGGGAGTACCTTGAGCATCTCATTGCGGCCATCCCCGCTGAGCACTTCACCGCAGACGCATCCGCGGCTGCCTTGAAGGCGATGAGAACCGGTATCACAAACAGAGAAGAGCCTCGTTTCAATGCCCCCACGGCTTGGACATGCTACGTTCACGTATCAAAGCACTTCTTGAAGAACGTTACGTCCGACGGCCCTCGAGCCAAGCTCGTCCAGGAGCACCTATTCCCCCTGATCGAGCACTTCCTATTCCCAACCCCTGAAAATGCGGCATGGGAGATTGGTGGTGCTGGACGTCTGGGTGTTATCAGCGAGGTTTACGAAGTATCCGCCGACACATCGTCCCCAGACCTGCTCCAGGCGACTACTGATAAGCTGGAATCACTTTCCTCTGAATTCTGCACCAGGATATCCAACTCACTACCCGAGGTATCATCAGGATACGAAAAGTCCCAGGAGGCCATTGCTTCCGAGGGTGATCGGTGGTTCAACCTCGTTGGTCAGGTCCAGACAAAGACCAAGGCCTCCACAACAGGCCCGGCCAAGCTGCTCCTCGGCCCTTCCAAGGCCATCATCACTTGCTGTATCAATCTTCTCTCAACCAGGAACCTCAAGCCATATGGGGCTGCTGGGGTTCTGTACAATATTGGCAAGAGCGCCCCGCGCGTCTGGGAAGATGCAGAAGCAGCCCAGGCCCTCGAGCAGTTTCTTTCGACACAGGGTAAGGAGCGTATGGAAATTCTGATGGCTTCTCGATCATCATCAGATCTCCTGAGCTGCGTGTCCATATTGGGGTCTCTGCAAGGCCAGGATGCGGCATATGCCACTATTTGGAAGACATGGATTGATGCGCTGCTCGGCTTGCCAGACGAGAACTTGGCCACCAAGGGAATCGAACGCCTCATCGCGAACCAACATGCGTCGGCTCATTCAAAATCACACGAACAGCTTCAGAAATTCTTCGGAACGAGATGCTCCGGGATTGTTCGGGGCGAGTCGGATTCATGGGGCTTATTTGAGGCAGCTCTAGCCAATGATGCTGTGACGGAGTCTACGGCTAAACAGCTCGTGGACAACAGCCTCGCTGCTTTGTCGCAAGATAAGGCTCATTCGGCACAGGCTCTCCGAGCACTAGAGATAATCGCCAACAATAAGCCTGGACTGCTGTCCCAGGATGAGTCGACTCACACAGCTGTAGTTACGGAGCTGCTTGGGCTTGCCGAGCTCAACGACAGAGCAGTCTCGTCTCGCGCCACGTCTCTGAGAGCCCTGCTGGAACAACCGAGCGATGGCACATCACCTGTGTTCGCCATCATCCAAAGGAATCTTGAAGACGCAGCACCGCAATCGCTTGGAGTCGATACGTTGGTGCAGCAGGCCCTGCAAGCGTCCAAGACCGACTCCGTGAAGATTGAAGACTTATTCCCGAGTACCAACATCTGGATGCAGCAGTTGTCAAACTTCCTCCAGGGCTCGCTAAACCCATCGCTGTCCATCACGAGCAGCCTGGGCGGCGCCCACTTCTTGGTTCAGCCCACGGAGTCGTCGCAACGCGTTCGGGTTCGCAGAGACCGGGAGGGATACTCGATCCCGGCAAGAATGGCCTCGTACACATCAAAGTTGTTGTCGTCCGACATTTCCGTCTCCACTTTGCCTGAGAGTTTCCAGGTCGAACTGCTCTATCTTCTTTGTGTATCCGTCCAGATCGTGTCTGATCAGATCACGCTTATGGACGAGAACAAGCTCTTCATGAATTTGGACGCCGGAGACACTCTCAGCTTTGCGGAAGACTTTGTCTCCTCCACCAGAGTTACCATCAATACCATTATTGACGAGGCTAAGGGCTGGAGGGATGGCTCTGAAGCCGGTTCAACCAAGTTGATCAACGGCCTCATTGCCATCATGACGCAGGAAACGAAGGAGCTCAACCCTCTGGGCGTCTACAGTTCCAGAGCGTTGAGTGAACTTCTTCAGGCTCTTACTGAGAAGCATGGCTTCCCCACCGCTGGTGACGACAAGATCAACCAGCTTGCCACGCTGAGGCCCACTCCGCAAACAATTCTCTCAGCCACGGCGGTGCTCACCGGCTTTGGCGAGACCCTCGAGTCATCCAAGGCTATCAACAACCTCTGCAACCGTCTCGTTAGTGACGTTGCTGGCGCGAGTATAGAGCCAGAGAAAGCCGAGAAGTGTCTCATGATCCTTGTGTTGCTTAACGCTTGCATGCAGGTCTACGAGGTTGGCGAGATTCCCGTGGCGAACAACCGTATCGTCTTTGCTGTTCGTCAGATCACATCTTGGCTTGACGACACCCTCAACCTCACCCCAGCCCTGTCCGCAGAGATTTGTCGCGCACTGCAAAGGTTGCTGCCCAGCATGAAGGACGTCTACGGCCCTCACTGGGAGAAGACGGTCGAATTCTCTACGGCGCTTTGGGCGAAGGCCTCGGACGACCGCCTGGACGCCTCGCTACCGTATATCCACACGTCCTTGAAGTTGATGACCGCGCTCGAGACCCTTTCAGAACCCAACGACGATTTGGAAGATGCACTGAAGGAGTACGCCGAAACCAAGTCACTCTCACTCATCGAACTCCTCAAACTGGACCGGGAGAAGGCCACGCAGCCCCTCGAGATCGTCGACGCCATCATCTGCAGACAGGTCGACAAGATCCCCCTCAAGCACATCAGCGACCTCTCAGAGCTTTATGGTCTCGTCGCGGCTGAATCCCGGTCCATCCAGACCGCTGCATTCAACCTGCTCCACCGCGCCCTACCAGCACAGCAAGAAGAGCTCTCAGTCAACGTTCTCCTCGACAAGACAGATGCTCGCCTCCCGGACGAGCTCCTCTCCCTGCTGCTCGACGCACCAACACTAGAACGCTACCCCGACGAGGTCCTCGCCCAGTTCCCGCTCCCGATCCGCTCATATCTGCTCTCCTGGCACCTCGTCTTCGACGCCTTCAGCAAGGCCTCCCTCAAAGTCCGTAATGACTACACGGAGCACCTCAAATCGGAAAGCTACCTCTCGCCTCTCCTAGACTTCACCTTCGACGTCCTAGGCCACTCCGCCGCGCACCCCCTCAGCCTCGAGCGCGAGGGCCTCACGACAACGCACATCACCTCCTACGACATCTCCCTCGCCGACGCCGAGCCCGAAGAGCGCAACCTCCACTGGCTGCTCGTCCACCTCTACTACCTCACCCTCAAATACACCCCGGGCCTCTTCAAGACCTGGTACCTCGACTGCCGCTCCAAGCAGACCCGCATCGCCGTCGAGGGCTGGATGACGCGCTACTTCTCCCCGATCATCGTCTCGGACGCCCTCGACGAGGTCGCCGCCTGGGCCGCCGCCCAAGAGGCCCCCGTCGACGACGAAAAAGAACTCGTCGTCAAGGTCAGCAAGGCCGGCAGGGAGATCACGGCCGGCTACGAGGTGGACGAGAGCATGGCCAGCATCGCCGTCAAGGTGCCCGCGAGCTACCCGATCGAGGGCGTCGCCGTCGTCGGCGTCAACCGCGTCGCCGTCAGCGAGAAGAAGTGGCAGTCCTGGCTCCTCACCACCCAGGGCATCATCACCTTCTCCAACGGCAGCATCATCGACGGCCTCTCCGCCTTCCGACGCAACGTCGTCGGCGCCCTCAAGGGCCAGAGCGAGTGCGCCATCTGCTACTCCATCATCTCCACCGACAAGAAGATGCCCGACAAGAAGTGCCAGACCTGCAAGAACCTCTTCCACAGGACGTGCCTGTACAAGTGGTTCCAGAGCAGCAACCAGAACACGTGTCCGCTGTGCCGTAACCCGATCGACTACCTGGGTTCCGAGAAGCCGCGGAGGGCGTTGTAGTGCGGAGGTGATAGACACGGTTTACGAGGCATGGAAAGGAAGGGGACAGGGGCAATTTGCATGTTTCACGGACAAATCAGACTTGGACGGGATAGAGGTGCATAGACAAAAGCAAGAGTTGGAGGTAGATAGATGACAATGGAAATGAATTCAGACTACTACGTGAACGAAATTGACGACAAAATGAAAGAAACTATGACAGAAGCAATAGCAAAAAGATGTCTAGAACTGGGCGCGGACAGGAGATTTGAACATGGACACGAACTCGTGCAACTGCCGGAGCTTCCGTCCCTTGTACGCGTCCGCCTTGAACCGCTCCATCTGCCCGTCCGACATGCCGGTGCTCTCCACGCCCGTCATGTGCTCGACGTGCGCGTCCTCCCACTGGTACGGGTCCTTGTTGGCATAACCCTCCGCGTCGATATCCATCGGGCTCTTGTCGGTACATCCCTCCGCGTCGATCTCCATCTGGTCCGTCTCGGCGAAGCGCTGGACGTGCATCAGGTGCCGCCTGTACTTGTGGTAGATGCGCTCGACGGCGCCGTAGGTCAGCCCGATGCGCTTCTTGGGGCGGTTCGGACGCTTGCGAACGCCGCCGGGGCGGCGGGGGATGATCATCTTGGCCAGGGCGGTGCCGCCGGCCAGCTTCTTCCCGCTGGCCTCGTGGGCTTCTTGCTGGTCCAGCAGGGCCTGCTCGCGTTGGGCATCAGTGTGCTTTGGCTTCCTGGCCACGAGATCGAACTTGTTGTAATGTATCTTCAGCTTTTTTGCTGCCTTTTTCTCGGCCTCCAACCTCTTTTTCTCTTCTCGCAGCTCCTGATGGGTCATACCTTCGCATTCTCTGCATTTACTCCTACCACGTGCAGAATTCGTTATGCCGCAGTCCACGCAAGCCTGTAGGCATTTTTTGCCTCGTGCGCAATCCAACTGGCTTTTGTGGCCGAAGTCGCAGTGATGTAGGACCTTCCCGCCATGTGTTTTGGCCGGTAAGTCACCAACAGCCGGGATGCCATTCTTGTTTGGGTCGCCTTTTTGTCGTCTCGAGGCCGCGTTCGGGTCGAGGCCGATGATGCCAGTATCGATCGGTGCCTGGGTACCCACATTGGGTCCGTGACGGGTCGGCTTCTGCTGCTGAGGCATATCTGACAGGTGGTTGGGTGTTTCAGTTCTTGAGAGATGATCGATAGCGGGCTACTCGATGATGTAGGTTGATGTTAATGGAAGTTGTTGTGGATGACTTCAACTCCAGACCCTCGTGGTAACGTCCAGAATTAATACCCCAGAGCAGTAATTCATCAGCCTTTGTGTTGACGAGAGCTTGGATGTATTGTAAGAGGACAGAGGCCTATGTGGCCTCGACGGTTGTGGTGTCCGCGGTCAAAGAAGTTCGATGAAACAATCAAGCAACGTTGATAGAGTATAATGCCGACAATGAATTTGAAATCTCTTGAGTATTGAAGAACATTGCCTTTCTGCCCCTCGCCTTGTGAGTCGCTGTGGTCTGATACAGTTGGACTTAGATTTGGTCGCTCTCTAGCAAGCACTTGTGTTGCAGGGCCTAGATAGTCAGACCTTGGACGTCGACGGACAAAGATTTCGGGCAACTTACTTGTTCAGCAGTCCATCTCTTTGAATCAAACCGGACCAGCTTTGCGACCAGATCCCGGACATCTGGGTCAACATCCGGCAAGATCGCGTCCCACGGCTGGCCCTCAAACGAGCGATACATTTCAAACGGCGGTGTCTTGAAGGTCGCGGCTTCGGGCCAGGTTTCCTTGGTGGGCGTGCCAAGAGTCTTGAAAATACTCAGAATCAAGCCCAGCTGGTTCCCATCTTCGTGCGTAGGTCTTGATTCGAACAGGGGGCTCGGGGGGTTCCGGCAGCATTCTGCCAGCATGGCGCCAGCAGCCCACATGTCGACAGATGGGCCGTAAGCCTTGTCTCCAAAGAGCGCGTCCGGGGCGCGATAGGGGCCGGTTCCGATATCCAGAATCTTGCTGCTGACCGGCTCGGAAACGGCCGACATGGTGGGGTGCCAGGCGGTTCCGAAATCTGAAAGGTAAGCCGGTCCATCTGGGCCGTCGAGAAGAATGGCTTCTGGTTTGACGTCCCTGTGGATGATGCCCTGGCCGTGGATGTCTTTCAGAGCAGAGAATATTTCCCTGAACAAGCTTCGGACCCTTGGGAGTGGAAACGTTCCTTTGTCGATGACATCGGCCAGAGTGAGCGGCTTGTAAGGGAACACCAAGACGAATCTTTGTTCCTGGTCCCGAAAGGTTTCCAGCAACGGGATGCACGGGCGTTTCAACGTTGCGAGGATCTTTGCCTCTCGGTGTGGATTGTGAGGCTCAATATTGTGTGTCTCGACAATGACCTTCAAAGCCCGGTCTTTGCATCTGTAGACCTCTGACGTAAGACCATTTGCGACAGGCAGACAGTTTCTGTAAGGCCCGATGGTGACCCCTACACCATCATCCGACTCGTCGGCCGTGGCCGTGGTCTGTTGGGGAGCCAAGTTGGCTGAACCAACTAGCTGGCAGATCTCATCATATTGGGCCTTCAACACACTGTAAGCGCTTGCTCCTCAAGATCGTTAGAGAAACTGCACTTACTCTGGAGATGGAATCCTTGTAGGCTTGGTTCTCAACAGAGAACGCCTCGGACTGCGACGTTGCAGCGGCACTCGGGTCGGCAGCTTCAAGGACCGCCTTTCTGCGAAGTGGTGTAAGTCGGCGACCGAGATATGCCTCTAGGAGACCGACTCACAATTTCTGAATGTTCTCATAGCGCTCGGACGCCGAGAGGTTCGTCCTCCAATCCGGGGCGTCGTCAGCCATGGAAGCAATCAAGCAGTGTTGAAGTTTGTAGATGACGCGCAGGCTGCTCGATACAGAGCAGGGATACACAATGTTCAAAGGCACTCTTGTACCTGCCTCCAACAGTGTTAGTGAGGACCCAGGAGGAAAGGACGGGATTGGTGTGGTAAGCGTCCGGTGTGCCTTCCGCCGCAGAAGGGCGGTGCGGAAATTTACCGTGCGAGAAGATTCTGCGACTGTCCGGGCCGGGGCCCGCCGGCAGATGCCCCGCAACCATCTCCGAGCCGGCCATTGATCCCTGTCGTGGAAGCTTACGTAACACGAAGTCAAGCAGCGCAATTTCGCTGGTACCTGACGCAGGCGCTCCTTTGGCGTCAATTATGTCTTGCTTATTCCTTCATTTTCCCCTTAGCTCTACCTAGCACAACTAGGCTTGGAAATGCTCCTAATTACCACAACTATCTGAAATGCATACATAATTATCTTTTATTCTAATGAGAAGCCAGAAAAAAAACAGGGGTGCTTTGGAGCTGCGCAAGCAGTTCGATGTTATACCGTGACTGTGCAGCGTCTTCATCCATGCGATGGAAATAAGGGCTGAAAGTGTAATTCATGCAGAGTCGGTGGCAGCGACAAGGATGATGCGGCTCAATTCTTCTCTTACGCTGGCTTGAATTTGCCATGTGTTGATTGAATTTCGGTCAGATTCATGGCGCGGGCGCGACACGCCAGGGCACTTCCCGTCATCTCATACAGGCACGGTTCTCTGAACCTTGTTGGAGGCGACATCCTGTCTGTCCATGAGAAGAGGGAGGCCCTAAAGGAGTAAAGTGTGCAGTGCCGGGTTCCTTAGAGTTGACGGAACGCGTTCCTAGGTTATGCAGCCGGCGCCGCCGTTGTTTCCAACGCCAGGGGCGCTAGCTTGTGCGTTTCTTTTCTTGGAAGGAATCAGCATCTCGAAGCTGACGAGCCGTCTGTAATCTTCAGCTGGAAGAAATGACTACTGTGGCATGAAGTTGGTCGAACAAGTCGAGAAGCACAAGAAGGAGAAGACAAAACTAAACTGGGACCGTAAGGCGCGTGACGTATTGCAGAAGTCCCCTCCGAGCTAGGCCGTTTCGAGTACAGAAGCCCAAGTAAAGTTGATGACTGTTGGATTGGGTTCTGAGTGATGGGCTTCAAGTCCCTATGCTGGGCCGTGTCCGCTACTCCCGGGCCAGTTTTCCGTCTCAATTAGAAGGATTCTAAATCCCCAGACAAGATGCGCCGAACTTTTCATGAGCACTTGGGCCAATTGATTACGTCGAATTGGAAAAAAAGAGAAGAAAAAAAAGGAACCTAGCCTAGGAAGAATAAATAGTGAGACACAATGAATGAGGTAAGAAAGGTACATGCTGCAAGAGTCCACGGGGACTAGATTAATAGTGGCTACTTGCACAGCACTGCAACTGCAAACGACCTCGGGATGCAGGCAACGCATAGAAGTGTGGAGCCGACATCCCAGGGCCATTTCCGTCCCTCAGTCACAGCTGGAGGTGAGGTGCCAGCCTGAGTGACGGCGGTGCGGTTCAGGAGATCTTCCCGGTCTTTCCTGCGCAAGTCTTGGTCTTGGTGTCTTCCTTCATTGCCCGAGCCTGATGGGCTGCTAGCAAGGTACTGAAGTAAAGGTCTGCCCGTGGTCGTGGTAGCTGTGACTGCCTGCCTCGTACGTATTAGCGACATCAGCAACGCCTTCCCTGCTTGGGGTTGTCTGGCCTGGCCTGGCCTTGCTCGTCTTTCTGCGCCGAACTTGTTCCATCCATCCAATCCGCTCCATTCCCTCCATTCCATCTCGCAACCCACTTGCCTACCTACCTACCTACGACCACCATCTCTACTTCCACCACCACCACCAACTCGCCCTCTCCCACGATGCGAATGCTCCTCGTCTTGGCGACACCTTTTGCAGCATTATAGACAGCATCGCTATGCGCGCCGTTCCTCTCCTTCATTCTATACATCGTACATGATTTTGCGCCCAGTAATTAGACACAATGGATGATCTCGCCAGGGCCGAATACCCTGCCATGCTGGTAATGTTTTCCCCGTTTCCCAACTCGTCATTGTTTTCCCCCTCAGCCCAGCCACTCACCCAACGACCCTGAGCCTGACCCTGAGCCTGATCTGGCCACCGGTCGCGACACTCCTCTTCATGTGCCTGCTTGCCATTGTGGGAGCGCATTGTTTGCGATCACCTTGCTAACCGTGGCATTCCTTTGTACAGGCACACCTCCAGCCCATGCAGGCTGTCAACGTCCTGACCGACCGCGTGAAGAGAATAACTAAGATCAATGCCGAGATCGCAGATTGGATGCAGGTGAGCCAATACCGAGGCTCCCGACCAACAACACCCGAGGCTGAACATTTCTTTCCAGGAGCGCCGACGAGTCGAAGACCAATACGTCCAGAGCCTGCGGAAGCTGCTGAGCTTCAAAGTCCCCAACGCCTCCTCCGAGCTTGGGTACGTTGCATCTGAAGTGTCGCCTGCCTTCAGCATCATGTACTAATCGCCCTCCCAGCGTCTTTTCTGGCCCTTGGGACAAGGTCCTCCAATCCGTCGATGCGACAGCCCACTCCCACCACGTCCTCGCGAGTCAATTAGACAAGGATGTCGAGAACCCTTTGCGCAGCTTCCAATCTCGGAAGGAGATGCAGAACATGCAGACCATCTCCGCCAACCTGACCGCCATGGCTAGAGACCTCGAGGACGCCCAGAAAAAGACGGACGCATTGACTAGGAAGGGTCCCAAGACGAACGCACAGAAAATGGCCGATGCTACCGCGAGACTCGAGCAGGCTACCCAGCAGTGGGATTCCCAGGCCCCATTCATCTTCGAGACCCTCCAGGCGCTGGACGAACAGCGTGTGAACCAACTGCGCGACCTCCTTACCCAGTACCAGACCCACGAGAGCGACCAGGCGCAGCGAGGCCTCACCCGAGCCGCCGAAACCCTCGCTTCTATGCTCGAGATCAGCACCGAGCTGGAGATTGCAAGCTTCAAGGAGAAGGTCATCTCTGGAAGACCTAGGATGGAAAAGAGAGTCACCACCTCGAGGCAATCTTCACATCCGCCAACGAGCCAGACCTTGGCCCCGCCGCCGCCGCCCAGCAGTCTGGGACATCACGATGACGATACGAGCGATCACTCGGGGGCGATGGAGGGCAAGACTGGTATGTCCCACTTATGTGATTATGACACGGTGGTGTAGCTAATGCACGCAACAGAGTCGAAACTGCGAAGTCGAATTGGCACAATGCTCGGTCGACGCCGGCAGAGCATTCACGGTGGTTTCGGACCCATCTCCCCACAGAAAACCGGCGGTGGCCCTCCGTCTTTCGGCCGTGGCCTTAGTAGCAGCCACAGCAGCACACACGTCCGCCCCGGACTCTCCCCCAGAGCCTCCTCGAACAACTTGGCCGAGACGAACAACAGATTGTCAGCCCTGGCAGAGACACCCGATTCCCCGAGACCGCCACAATCATCTGGTACCGATAAGCCACTTCACGAGGGCACAAATGGATTCAGTGCAGGATCAGAAGGTGCTCGCTTGGGTTCATCGGCGGGCACCGTCAACGGGAATCACGACACCGATGTTCTAGATGTCGCTCCTCCTCCAGGACCGCCGCCATCGCAGACTAAGGAGCCCGAGGCGAAGGACGCCGAGGGCTTCACGATCCGGCCGCCTGCCGATGACCCCATCTCCCAGGCTCAGCGCGAGGCTGCGGAAGAGAATGAGCAAATGTTTAAGCTCAACATTGCAAGCTCGCCTATTGCAGAAGAGGACGCCGATGCGAAAGAGGCCGCCTTGACGAATGTTGCCAATACTTTGACTCAGATGGCAGCTCCCTCACGAAAGCTCGGAACGGTACGCGGACGAAGAGACGTAAGGAACACTATTTATGTTCCTCCGCCCAATATGCCCGAACTTACCAACGAGAATCCGTTCCCGACCTCGCCGTCGCTCCCCAGTCAGTCGTCCAAGCCTACTACCGTCGCAGCTTTAGCTTCAGAAGCAAGCATTGCGGCGACATCAGATACCCAATCCATTCGGTCGGCAAACTCACTGGTGAGCCTTGCTCACCTGAAGCACCCGGACATGCATGAGCCTGGTTTGAATGCGTCCATTATTGAGACCGTTTCTGCGACTTTCGAAGAGGGCGAAGTGAAAAGCGCCAAGGTCCAAGGCGAGATCGCTTTTGCTTACCACGCGGCTGAAAATTCTGCGCAAGGTATGTCCCATACTTGTGTGTTTGAAAGGACTGAAAACTAATCACCAACAGAACGTGAAATCATCCGAATCAACAACTTCCCTAGCTTGGAAGTCATTGGACCGAACCGCATTTTTGTCCAGAACAGCCCCGACAAGCCTGATGAATTCAACTTGGACGTGTCGCATCTCAACAAGACGGCCACCGCGTTCACATATCGTGTTCACGCGAGCGATGCCGGTCTGGCTTCCCACGTGCCACTGTTGATTCGCCCTGCATGGAAGCCCCAAGGCGACAAGCTTGGACTTCTTCTGCAGTACTCGCTTAACCCTGCCAGCAATCTGACGGCACCCGTCACTCTGCAGAATGTCGTTTTTGTCGCCACGTACGAAGGCGCCAGAGCTTCTGGAGCGCAGACCAAGCCGACCGGAACTCACCTCAAGGACAAACACTTGGTGTACTGGCGCCTGGGAGACTTGACTCTCACTGCAGAGACGCAGAAGATTGTATGCCGTATCATTGGCGCCGAGAACGCGGAGCCGAAGCCCGGACATATCGAGGCCAGATGGGAGTTCACTCCTGAGTCACTCGGTAGTGGTATCTCCATCTCGAGACTGGAAGAGACGAAGGGCAAAGGCAAGGAGGAGGACGCCGATCCCTTTGCGGATGACAACCCGACGTCCCCTGCCCTGCCAGCCGATCAGCAGTGGGTGGACGTGAAGTTGGTAAAGAAAATCACGAGTGGCAAGTACGAGGCCAAATGATCGAAGATCAAGGCTTTAATGACTGGTGGTGTACATACCCGTGTTGGGAGTAGTGGGACATTTTACATAGCGAGCGTATGCGGTATGTAACGGCACACTGGAGAGGTGGGAGAGAGAGATCACTCCGGATAGCTGTTTTTTGTCTGGCAAATTGTGTTTCTTCATTTCTGGATTCCCGCCGGGACACGGACACATTGGCCAAGTCCTCGGGTTTTTGGTCCGTCTTGATGACAGGAGACGGACTTGGATTGTAGGTAGTCTTTCATGTGCCGATATCACGAAAAGAAGAGAGAGTTTTAAGCATCAGAGCCTGCAACGAATGCTAGACGCGAGACGTGAATTGAACAAAGAAAAGCCGTTTGTCATTAAGGCACTATTCATCCAGCATCTGAACCTCGTCCCGGTTTTGGGGATTCGAGGTGAGGTATCTCGTGATAAGAAAACAAATATGAACATCGGCGGCGACAGAATACTAAGCCGTGCTTTTGTGGTAGAAAACGCATGCCTCCCACGCCGTTCTCTCTTGTGTACCATATCTAACAACTCCCAGCTCCACCCATGTACGGACTAAAGTATAAAAGAAAGGCCTACTACTCGCCGGAATTCTGGTTCCTCGAGTGCTCCTCGTAAAACTCGAGGGTGAGGGCGGCGAGGAAGCCGGGGATGCATCCCTTCTCGCGGACCCAGAAGCCGATCTGGTCGCCGATGCGGCGGGCGAAGGCGCTGCGGGGCCCGCCGCCGACCTTCATGGTGCCCTTCTCGCCGTCGAAGACGATGGAGTTCTCGTACTCGTCCGTCCGGGAGGGGTAGAAGGTGGACTCGACGCGCATCTTGCCGTTGGGCATGAACATGACGGTCCAGCCGAGGGTGGAGAAGATGGCCTCCTTGAACTCGAGGGACTTCTTGGACCAGACCTCCTTGAGGCGCCTTGCGGACTTCTGGGCCGAGGCCGTCTCGGCGCGGGCCTCCTCGACGAGGCGGTTGGCGGCGTCGAGCTGGGTGGCGGGGACGAGGCGGACGGAGGGGTCGGAGCGGAGCTGGGCGAGGAGGTCTGCGTTTTCCTGCTTGAGGGCGGTGAGGGTGGACATCTTGATGGCCTCGAAGTCGGAGGTGGGGTTGGAGCGCAGGGAGAGGATGCGCGTCTTGGACTGGGCCTTGAGGGCCTTGAGCTGCTCCTTTGTGACGGAGAGCTCCTTCTGGGTGACGGCGTGCTGGGTCTGGACTGCTGACAGCTGGTCTTGGAGTTTGCGGTTCTTGCGGGTTAGGAGGCCGAGCTGCTCGTGGGCTGCCTCGTCGTTCTCGTCGCGTGGGCGCTTAGTGCCCGCGACGGAGGGGGCGGGCTTGCCCGTCTCGATGGCGGACATTTCTGTGTGCAGGGCTTGGACTTCGGCGCGGTACTTGTCGACGAGGTCTTCGAGCTCTTGGATGCGGCGAGCCCTGGTCTCGTCGACGGCCTCGGGCTGGAAGGCCTCGTCCTCTGCGTCGAACGTCTTCAGCTGCGCGCGAAGGTATTCTACTTCCTTCACGGCGAGCACACGCTGGCGCTCGGTACGCAGGCGCATCTTGTCGACGTTCTGGGTAGTAGAGGCCGTCTTGGCTTCCGCGAGTTGGGACTTGAGAGTGGCAACTTCTTGTTGGAGGGAGTTGAAGGAAGACTCTTGCGCCGCCAGTTCAGCCTGCAGGGCACCGATTCTCTCAACGTGGGAAGCAGAAGTGAGGCGTTCCTGGATGAGAGCGCGGGCGACAGCCTCGGGGGAGTCGAATTCGGCTTCCGTGCCGGTGCTGGCGAGGTACGCAGTCCATGCGATGCGTTCGTCTTCCAGACGCTGGCGTTGGATGCGAGCTTCGGCCAATTCCGTCTCGAGGGACTGGGCAGCTTCGAGCTTACGTTGAAGGGATCGCTTCTCCTCTTCAACGACCTCGACGGCCCGATGAATTTGGCGCAAATGTTTCAGCTCAGATAGTTGCTCGCGGTTGGTCGCTTCTAAGCTCCGGATGTGAGTCACTTGTTCTGACAACTCGCGCTTGATGATTGCCATCGTATCGGCGTCGCCCGTCTGCGCCTTGAGACGCAACACCTCGGCTTCGAGATTTCCAATGTTATTATCCTTCTCGACAAGCTGGGACTGCACCTGCTGGAGAGCAGCCTCGCGAGCCTGTGACTCTTGCTCCAGCTCTTGTGTAGACTTTTGGGCCGCCTGCAGTTGCATCTCCAAGTCGATGGTCTTCTTCTCGTTGATGCGGGCGGCTTCGTCCTTTGCGCTGGACAGATCTTCCAACTGCTCCTGCAGGAGCCGCGCTTCCTCTTCCGCCTCGCGCGCCCTCTTCTCCAGGCCCGACTTCTCCTCTGAGGCACCTTCGCGCAAGTCGCCCAGCTCCTTCTGCGCATGCTCGAGTTGGCGCAAAGCTTGCGACTTCTCGCTCTCGGCAGCTTGCTTCGCTGTAAAATCGGCTTGTGCGCGTCGGCGCTGGTCTTCTAGCTCGGCATTATGTCGCGCGTCTGCCATCTCCTTCTCCTGCTCGAATGTGCTGATCGTGTAACGGAGGGTGCCCAACTCGGCCTTGAGCTCCTCGATGACCTGGCGTTGCGACTCATACTCGGCAGCGTCTGGCGGTGCCATGTTCTCCTTGGAACTTTCGCGGGACGCGGCACGGACGGAGCTCTGTCGGGAGGCGGGCCTACTATTCGCATCGCCGCCGGTGAAGAGGTTGTATGTCGGTTGTGTTGCGCGAAACTAAGGTTTTCGGGTTAGTGTTTGGCGGGACTGGGGGCGTTTGTTTTTGTTTATTTCGGAAGTCGTACCCTTGATTCCCTTAGTGATGTGTGAGATCTTGGAAGAGCGCTTCCGCCGGTGCTATTTCGAAATCGGTTCGTAACTGACCCTCTCCGTCCGGGAGGGTCTCCGGAAGGCGTGTGCGACCTCATGCTGGTGATGATGGTTTGGTAAGGCTTCGAGGCGCGTCTCGGAGATGGCCCGATGTTTTGGCGGCGCAGGAAGCTTTGGGTTGCCGGTGAAGGGATCACGTGATGCTCCGAAGCGGCCCCTGCAGAAGTGGGAATTGGCGGCTTTCCCCTGTCTTTTCCCCGCGGAGTGGCCGCCCCAGCTGACGGAGCTGAAGAGTCCGGAGTTGCAGTTGGGGCTTGCTGCATCGTTTGCAAGGCACCGGTTTCCGCCGTCATTTCATAGTCGTCTTCATGCATGTTAACATGAAGCATATGAAGGCCGTCGAAATGTCTCCTTTCGAGAGGTCATACAATGTTGTAAAGTCTCAGCGTTGTACTATCTCTGTCGATGGCAGGTCAGGTAAGTTTGACTGTTTCGTCGTGGCTGCCTTGACCAACTTCCGAAGAGAAAGGAAGGAGAGTGCAGTTGACAAAAGTCTGGTTTGGGTCTCGCCTCTCTTCCTACTCAGCTTCTGAGGCTCTCAAAAGTCTTCCACCAAGTCAAACGCCTTGGTCTCTTGAAGCGTCATGTTTTTCCCTCTGTTTGAAGTTTCTCATCTTTTTGGGGAGGTAGGCTAGTTCTGTCCGAGGCCAAATTTGTTGTCTACTATTACTCCATTCCTGAATTAATTGACGGTGGGATCTTCAACCTCTCTCCTTCTCAGATTGTTGGGTAAGGCAGTTCCCAGCCCATCCATTGGATGCCTCTCTTTCAAAGGACTTGGTTGATTCAGTTGGAATCAGCTCATACCTCCAACGATCAAAGAGTGAAACTAAAAACCTATGTTTCCTGTTACCTCATCGGCGGGCTGAAAGAACAGGGCGGGACAGGGAGACAGGGAGACAGGGACAGCTGCACCATGACGTGATGCCCACATTCCCTCTCTGAGGAAGCTTGTTCCTGTCTTGGCTGCCGCTTTGACCAGGAGATGTTCCGTGCCCAAACTGCTACCGCAGTGCGTGCTTGCTCGAGCTCACTGCCAGAAGCAGAAGCAAAGCAGATTTCAACGACAGCTTCAACTGGATTCCCCAAAACCCCTCCGCAACCCCGACACCATCGCCGAGCCCTCCTTCCCAAGCATATCGATACCGAACCCGACGATACCTCGATAGACCACTTGCGAAGGCGAAGCTCGGCCAAACAGGGGCATACGAATTGGGACATCAGTCAGCAACAGTCAATATTGTCCGTAATACCCGAGCTCGAACCTGGACCCGAAGCAGACGCCTTTGGAGGGAACAATTCAATTAGGAGCGACCTGAAATCTGTCAAGCATCTATAGGCGTCCTTTTTGGGGCCAAACATACACTATTTGGATCGATTGGATACTGCACACAAGGCTGAGATTGGTTGCGACAGAGGACTTGCCTTGACTTGGTCCAGACCAGTGGCTCTCGCCTTACGGACATTGTTGTGCCTGCCTACCGTGCTTTGACCTACCTGTTCTCTTGAATGGCCCGGATCAATCGATTTATTTCTTCTCTATTCTAATCTCTGGAGTTTTGCATCTTTTCTCCCTCCAACCCCGCCTCAATCGAACATACACATCCTGAATCGGAGTATCAGAATGATGATGTCCCGCCTCATGGTAAGCCTCCTTCTTGCATATCGTTTGAAGCATGCCTAGATCTGCCCGCTAATACTTATCTTAGAATCAGCCTCTCCGGGCTGGTTATTACCACTCCCTCCGCCCGACTACCGCGTCCGCAATCGTCGCCCTTGCCCCCGCTCGACCTAGCCGCTGGTATTCGTCGAACGAGAGCGCCGAGAAGAAGGAGGAGACCGAGGTTAAGGAGAGCGAACAGGATGAAAGCCCCCCCGCGTACACCCACCGAGGCTCAGCCATCAACTTCCACTGGGCTCGCGACGCCGACAAGGCGCGCCAGAGGGATGGCCCTACCATTTCTCTCGACAACTGGGAGGAGCATGCGGATGCCAAGATAGAGGAGTTCGAGGAGCTCCCCTCCAAAGAGTTTGGCATCAATCAACACATGGAGGTCAACGCCGAGTTCAAGAAGGTCTTGACTCAAGTCGTCCGGGAGTTCCGCGCCCCCATCATGTACGCCATGGCCTATGGTTCCGGCGTCTTTCCCCAGTCCAAGGCGAGTCGCACTGTCACCGACGAGGAGTTCCGAGCCGTGCATCCCAAACCCTCTCCCTCTTTGATGGAGGTTCAGAAAGGCGGACCCAAAATGATCGATTTCATCTTCGGCGTAACCCATACCCAGCACTGGCACTCGCTCAACATGCGCCAACACCGCGACCACTATTCGGGCCTGGCTAGTTTCGGTTCGGGTCTTGTCTCCACCTTCCAAGACCGCTGGGGTGCCGGCGTCTACTTCAACCCGTATGTCACAAAGAAGGGAATGCTTATCAAGTACGGCGTCACCTCCATAGACAACCTCTGCACCGACCTCTCCACCTGGAACAACTTGTATCTCGCTGGACGACTTCAGAAGCCGGTTAAGATCCTGCGTGATCATCCACGGGTACGCCTTGCGAATCAGGTCAACCTCATCTCGGCCGTTCGCACTGCGCTTCTCCTCCTCCCTCCCAAGTTTACCGAGAAAGAGCTCTACTCAACAATCGCTCGCATCTCATACCTCGGTGACCCGCGCATGTCCCTCCCTACTGAGAACAAGAGCAAGATCTCCAACATTGTCGATAACAACATGGTCTCGTTCCGTAAGCTCTATGGACCTCTGTTGAACACACTGCCCAACGTCGACTATGGCGAGGGCGCCGACCAGCAGGCCAAGCATGCATCCGACCCAGAGTACGATGCCTCCATGCACCAGGACATGGATCCAGTCAAGCGTGGCAACATGGTCCGACGCCTACCCAAGGCATTCCGCTCGCGCCTGTACTTCCAGTACCAAAAGAAGCTCATGGTGCCCGCCGCCGACTTCAAGGCCATGATGGACGCTTCCAAGGGCGAGGACGACGTGAGCTTCAAGCGACGAGAAGGCGGTGGATTCGAGCAGCGCATTGTGCAAGATGACCCCGAGCAGTTGCAGATTTACATCCGCAAGGTTATCAAGCAGACCGTCAACTGGCCCGCTACGGCTCAGTCCATCAAAAGCTTCTTCACCGCAGGCGTCGGCCGCTCCATCCGTTACATGTCCGAGAAGTGGACCAAATACAACGAAGGCAAAGCCAAGGCCAAGGCAAAAGCCGACGAGGAGAAGAAAGGGGGAGACGACGCTAAGAAGACGGAGTAGAGACTTTCGGCACAGCTGTCCACTCGGTTGAATTACAAAGAGCCACCCAGCAGATGGGCGGCCTTGGTTTCGGTTTGGACTGTTTGAGATTCTAACTAACGCGGCATATGATGATTTCAGCATGCGACGTTTTGACGTCGGTACATACAATCTCTCTTCGACGCTTTCCAGCATTGACTTGTACATCTACGGGAAAGTACTGGGGCGGCCTCTTTCGGCCAGCCCAAGTCGACGGACCACATCAGCGGTGTGACAGCATCATTGGACGCTGATAGCCTCACATGCGAGTTATATGCGAATGGTCTTTTGGCTGCACTCATCTGGCCGGTTTCGCGCCTTCTTTTCTTTTGTTCACGTTGGAATGGAAATTTTTGCATTAGCATTGGGGCGGTCCTGACTTAGAAGGGAAATGGCTGGGGTGTTGGTGGTTGACACCTATTTTCTTGTCTGCGACTTCTCGTCTGCGACTTCTCTCTCTCTCAAAGGCGAGAAGCAGCTGTCGCAAGAGTTCGGGATTCAATGGGGACCTTCGTGTACTCAGAGAAAGCTGGTCATGAGAGGAAGACAGCATGGGATGGCGGTGGAAGCGAGGAGACATTGGCGTTGAAGGCATGTGACAGATTAGTACCAGGGAAAACCCTGAAGGCCGCTTTTGGCAAATGAGATGAGATGCGACGAGGTCGCTATTTGACATGAACTAGATGAGCCGCCATGCGTAAGATGGGTACATTATGACTGCCATTTGTGACAGTGATGCTGTAGTTGTGTTCAGAGAATGTCGCATCAAGCCAAGATTTAAGCTTCATAATGTTGGAATTATTACTTCGGGCGACAGCCCGGCTAGTAGTACAGATTATTCATTACATCATCCATCGCAAATTACAATTCTACCACTTCTTCTTGGCGTACGACGCAGCGCCGTCGATGAGCTTGTCGGTAAAGCCCTCGCTCTTCTTGTCGTCCTTCTTGTCCTTTCCGCCGCCGCCGCCCAGCATCCCGCCGAGCAGACCGCCCCCGGAGCTCTTCTTGTCGTCGCGGTCGTAGCTATCGCGGCCTGTGGTGAGCGTTAGTATGTGATACCTTACTTTTGAGAGAAAGTTATGAGAATGTGTTTGACTTACGACCATGGGATGGACGACCTCCTCCGTAAGAGTCGTAGTCATCCCGGCGTCCACCACCGCCTCCGTAGTTATCGCGGCCGCCGTAGTCGTCTCGGCGTCCGCCGCCGCCTCCGGAGTAGCCACCGGGTCCGCCGCTGCCGTAGCTATCGCGGGGAGGACCGCCGTAGCCGCCGCCGCCGCCACCGCTGGGTCCGTAGTCGTCGCGTCGGCCGCTGCCGTAGCCACCACCGCCGCCACTGCCGTAGCTCTCGTGGCCTCCTCCGTAGCCTCCTCCGCGGCGGTCATAGTCGCTGCCGCCGCCGCCGTAGCCGCCTGAGGGGCCGTAGTTCTCGTGTCTGCCGGAGTGCATTGTGTTGTGTGTTTTTAGGGTGTTGTTATTATTTGTTGGAAGGATGGAGTTTGTTCTCTTTTAGAGGGTTGGAGTTGGTTGTGATGGGAGTGTTGATGCTTGTGTGATGAGCTTGATGGGATAAGAGTGCTTGGAGATGCTTAGCATCAGTAGTTATATACCTGTTTGGCCATCTCGATATTCTTGCCATTGAAGCCAAGAGTTCACCCGCGATGTCGTCAACCTGTTTGATTCCCCCCCCACGACGTCAAGAATCCCACCCCGATACATGCCATACCCATCAAAAGACATCACCAAGCATCACGGACGACACGAAAACCGGACCAGAGATACGGGGGAGCATGAGGGCTCGTCGTCAGCATGGCAAAAGAAGACGTCAAGGCTTCAGGGGCAGGTCGCGCACTCGCCGCGTGCCCGCCTTGGAAACCACCTTGGAATGATGTCGGGCCAAGTGCCGCCAGAGTGCCGACCTACCGACGGTCCAGGTCGAGAACTGGGCCAGCGGGGGAGTTTTGCTGTGGATATGCTGTTGCGGCTCGCCGGCCACGATCGATCGTGGGCGCGGTGGGAACACATTTCCCGTGGCGGCAGTCTCCAATCTGATCTCATAACGCGACGGTCATTTCCCGACTCGGAAGGAATTACTGATGGTTGTTTGGGAACCAGGCCTGGGCTGTCTCTGCAGCTTCTTCTTGTTCGTGCTACCTCCCAAGACGTGGTGGCGATGTGGAGAATAAGACGGTGTGTGTCGCGACGGGAGAAACTTGGATGGGCCTTGATTTATTTATGGAAGGACCCTGCTTTTTTCTGGTTGTCTCCTTTTCCCGCGTGTGGCTGATCGTTGATCACCGTTATTCCTGGTGATGGGCTTAGTAGAAACACTAAGGGTCTGAGGCGTCGTCCGAATCTTAAGCCGCGAGACGGAGACGGGAACTGATGGTTCTGGACGAGCTGCTAGGCAGTTTGGCATGTTTCTGGAAGGGTTTCGCTGAGGATCTTGGGCGATGACGCAAGTCTCATGGCCGTTTTAGCCGTTTTTGCCAAGTGTGAAGCGAGTCGAGTTCGCGTGCTTGAGTCGGGCTTACATAATACCGTTCGGACGTTGGCAGTGACAGCCGCCAAGCTGGAAGAGGCGTCGGGCCTCATCAGATGGCCAGGGTCCTCCCCAGCCTCTTCCATATCCTTTGAAAAAAAGACGACGGCATGCCATTGGAATGCCGACTCGAACAATTGGGCGGGAGGAATGCTCCTGCATCAATTGGATAGGCCAAGCAATGCCAATTCCCGGAATTCCCTTCACCTATGTTCCAACCACCCGCCGCCGGACGCTTGGCTGTGACTGGAGTCTTCAAGGTCTGTCCCGTCCGCGTCCGCATCCACGGGCTGTCGCATACAAATTGCTAGCCATTTGACTTTTTTTTCATTTGGGTCTATGCAGCTGAGGAAAGCGCGGCTCCTTTAATGCGGTAGAATTCTTTGTTGCCTTCTCGATCTCGAAGATGCAGTCGTCCGGCTTGGTCCTCAGAGATTTGGAGAGGAGACCTCTGATATCTTCCTAGGGAGACTCGCAGGAACTCGAGATGGGTAGCACCTTTAATTAGTACATTGAATACCTAGTCGGCGCACTTCAAGATGATTCCCGCTCCGCCTCGACCTCCCGAAAAAGCTCTCCCTCTCGTGCCCAAGGTCTGAGATATCCGATCAGGAATCCCTCGGGCGCATCCTTGCGATCCTTGCCCAGAGAATGCTTGGCAGACCCGGACTTCACACCCAACCATCCAACGACGGCCAACTAAAACCCAAGCCCGTTTGCTCTTGCCTGCCCTCTGCATTCTGGCCTCCCCGCAAATGCCAGGAGAGGCTGATTGTTCGACTTCCATTGGATCGTCCGGGCTTTGGGCTGCAGTGACACTGGGGACCATTTCCCATTTCCATTTCCATCCCCCTCCCATTCTCATGCATGTTCAAGTTCATTCGTGTGCCACCGACGACCGGTAGACCGCCCCCGTCCATACATGTTCGAGTTCAACCACCCGCCTTCTCTTCTCGCCAATCCACCCGCCGCCCGCTTCTTTTCCCCTTCCCCGGCCAGGTCGGGCGACAGCCAGTTCCTTTTTTCTTATTGTACAGAGTACGGATACCTGCAGTGACCTGCCCTCGCTGAACATCTCTTTTCCCGCCGCTGGAACAAGTCGGCGGTTGGTTGGGAAGATCCCGAGATTCAAACAACGACAGCTCACCTCGAGTTTTCGGAGGCCCTCATCCACCCATCGCTACACTTCTCTTCTCTTCACCTGCCTTGACCCTTCGTCGCCTCACTCCCGGCTGAGCCGACGCGGTTGTCTTGATTGACCTACCGAATGTAACACCACACAACGGTCCGAACAAAAAAAAAGATCTTCGAAACAAAAAAGCAACGAACCCGAGCGGCACTGCGAAACGTTTCCTCCACCACGCCGATCCGATCTCCGGCTGGCAATCGTCGTTCTCACGACCCCCCGCACCGGAGCCGACGTTGCAATACCACCACACGAAACTCCCGACTCGCCGGCGAATGATTTCACGATAGACCGAGAAAAAAAAGACAGCATCCCCTCGAACCTCATAAACCGCCCAGGCGAGAACATCGCCGCGCCCCAGCATGGCGCGCCCGCGCATCCCCGCCCTCTACGGCATCCTCCAATTCTGCCTCCGCCTCACCCTCGTCGTCTTCGAAGTATGCGCTCTCGCAGCCCTCATCACCCTCTCACGATATGGATTTGACTTCCCCATCGGATACGTCACGGTAAGCTCCCCTCAACTCTCGCAACTCTCACTTTTTGTTCAGCTCTGACAAGTTCATCTGCAGTCCGTTTCGGGCATCATCTACTCCATGGCCGAGATGGTAACGCTAGCCAACTCGACCGGCCAGATCCCGCGCATGCGCACCGGCGCCCTCGTCGTCGCCGACTTCGTCCTCTTCGTCCTCGGCCTCGTCGCCTTCTTCTACTTCATCATCCTCAACGGCTGGCGCAACGGCAGCCCCCACCGCGAGTACAAGGCCTGGCGCGACGACCCCCTCCGCGTCGAGAAGGCCACCTGGGCCCCCTGGTACATGTGGCTGCAGCTCATCGCCGCCGTCCTGCACTTCCTCTACATGGTCATGCACTGCGTCGACGCCTGCAAGGAGGGCCCCGTCCAGGAGAGGAGGCGGCGCGAGAGGCGGAGGCAGAGGGCGCTGCAGAGGGAGAGGGCGAGGGAGCGGGATCTGGAGACGGCGGAGGTCATGACGCAGCAGCAGCCGGTGCCGACGACGACAACGACAACAGTTACGCCGACGACGAGTTAGCGATGAAATTATGAGTTGTCTGTTTGGTTGAATTTGTTTTGGTGCTTGGTGTTTTGGAGTTAGGAGACTCTTGGATATTGCATGATGGGTATGACATGACGGGCCTGGAGCAAGTGCTGGTCTGGGCCCCGGATGCACATGGCAGCTTATGATTCGAGCACGGCGAAGGCTTTCCCCGAGAGACTACAAAAGGTGCGAGTGCTTGGATTCCCAGACGGCCTAGGAATGTCACATATGGACTTTAGGCATACATTTGCATACAGTATGGGCTCGATACCCCCCAGGAGAATCACCAGACGACCGTTTTCACGCGTTCTACCATCGTCCCAAAATTGTTGACTCGTCCTGATTGTTGAGTTGACGTCCGTGTTCCCGGCGGTCACTTTCTCTCAGCTGAACCTGCAATCTGCGATCCGAAATCTGCATCTGCGAAGCTCGGATGAAGTTTGAAACGCCGGGTAAGCAGCTGTTCCTGGCCGATGCTTTCTTTAGCACCTGTCAGAAAGTCAAAAGAGGATCGCTCCTCATGCAAGGGGGTTGGGTTGTAATTAGTGTTCCGCCAAAAGGTAAAGCAGCTGTCCCTTTGCCTCTTCGACTCATTCAGTCTCATTCATGATACTCAGCTAAACAGGTCGAGCTTGCGTATATGATTGTGATTCCATCGCTTGGATGTTCTCGAAAACGCTTCTGCGCCGGGGTCAGACCGTTCGTGGGCCTTTGACGGGTGACACGGATGCGACTCGCGGACTGACTGATGATGGGTGCCGTGGGCTAATCAGACAAAAGTGTCTCGGGAGTCCGGATCAGATGGGTATCGGGGATCCGCAAAATAGACCACGCCCAGAGTTCGTATTTCTCTTGGGGGCTTCTCTAGCCACCTATCAATCTGCTCGAACAGCTACTACCAAGCGGCTTATTCGTGTTTCCCTCAAAGAGTGTCGTTACGGCTGCGGTTCATGATTACGCGTTTCATTATGCGTATCTATCCATCTACACATCTGCGCCAAGCCATCATGGCCGGCTAGTCGACCCTCCTCCAACTCGGCATACCTCCCTCCCCTTCCCGCCGCCAACCCATCTCCCCTCGCCCTCGAACTCCACCCATCCCCTCCTCCCCTCCGGCACATCCCACTCCACCGTCGCGACGCCGCCCTCGACCTCCCACCTGGCGCTGAACCTGCCCAGCTTGGTCGTGAACCCGGCCTGCGCGGCGTCGAGCTCCCCGAAGACGGGCTTGAGGCTCCACTCCGCGCCCGCGGGCCGCGTGACGCGGAGCCCGACGAGGTACTCCGTCAACGTGCTGGTCGGCCCGGAGCTCCAGCCGTGGGCGTGGGAGACGTAGCTCGGGTCGTCCGTGTAGCCGCGGGCGCTGCGGTACCCGAAGGAGCCGTCGACGAGGTAGCCCTCGATGACGGTGGACTGCGTGCCGTTGGGGTGGGCGAGGTACCAGCCCCAGCTGTCGCGGATGAGGCGGAAGGCGCGGTCGGGGCGGCCGGCGACGAAGTGCGCCTCGAGCTCGACGCTGGTGATGAAGGGGGAGACGTTGCCGGGGAGTTCGGGGGAGGCGGGGCCGATCGGGGTCCAGTTCTCGGTGAGGACGCGGGAGATGGAGGAGGCTTCGGGGGAGGTGGGGGGGACGACGCCGAAGGCTATGGCGTAGCTGTTTGCGTCTTGCGGGTAGAGGGTGCGGTTTTTGTAGCCGTCGATGAAGGCGCCCTTTTCGGCGTCCCAGAGGTGGGTTTTGATTGCGGTTTTGAGAGTCTCTGCGCGGGAGAGCCATGTTGAAGTCAGATTGGTGGTTGAATTTGAGGGCGCGAGGTCTGCGAGGAAAGCACCGGTGGTGAGGGTGCGGTAGAGGAGCATGTTCGGGGCGCTCCCGTTCATCGAGTTGATGTACCGAGCCCAGTCGCCTGTGGCCGTCGCGTTGAGAATTCCCGTCTCCGGGATGATCTTCGCGTAGATGTAGTCCATCGCCTTCAGGTACGTGGCCCAGTTCCCGCTCAACCAGTCCAGGTCACCGGAGAAGAGGACGTAGTTGTAGGCCCCGATCATGGTCCACATGTGATACGTGTCGCTGGTGGCGTCGAGGTAGGGCGGACCCGCGCGGGGGAAGATGCCGGAGGGCTGCTGGAAGTTGAACATGGTCTGGATGGCGTTCTTCGCGCTCTCGAGGTCGCCGGTGGAGACGAAGGCGGAGGGGACGGCGACGCCCATGTCGCCGGGCCAGATCCAGCGGTCGCGCTTGGCGCCGTCGAGGAGGAGGGAGGAGCCGACGCCGAGCCAGGCGTCGTTGAACCAGGAGCCGTTCCAGACCGCCTCGGTGAGGACGCGGCCTGTTTCCGGGGGCGCGGCGTTGGTCTGCAGGGTGTAGGCGCCCGAGTACCAGATCTTGTTGAGGAGGTCGGAGGAGGAGTGGAAGTAGCCCTGGTAGGCGCGGAGGTTGGACCAGGTCGGTTGGAAGACTATCTCGAGGGAGATGTCGTCTATGGACAGACTCGGCGTGGTGGTCGAGTTTGAGGTAGAGTTCGTCATGAGGTAGAGCGTGAGGTAGCGAAAGCCGCCGCGGAGTTGAGGAAAGGGGACGGTGTAGGAGCCTTCGCCTGGGGTGGTGATGTTGTGGAAGAGGGCGCCGTCGACGCTGATGAGCGTTTGGTTTGGCCCGCGGTAGTTGCCGTTGGAGTTGTCGGAGTACTCGCCGATCCAGTTCTTTGCTTCTGTCCAGGCGAGACCGAGAACTACTGGGGCGTCACCGGTGAGGGTGTAGTTTACGGTCGTGATGCCTCCGACAAGGACGCCAAAGTCGAAGACCAAGGCCGAGCCATTGCCCTTGAGGGTCGAAGTACCTGGGAATTCGCTGATAACATTGCCTGTTGAGAGGGATAGCACAGACTTCGGTCGAGCGGTGCGAGAGTCTGGGGCGTAGATGTTCGCATCCCAGGGACCTGGGAACGAGGCTTCTGTCGGATGGGTACATGTTGCGTTGCGCCAGCAGGTTGAAGCTAGCGTATCGGCGATGAGGACTAAGCCTACGAGGAGGGATCGAGGCGAGGCCATCTTTGGTGCGTCGAAGGCCTGAGACGTCAGGTAGACCTGGTGTCAAGACCTATGGGACGTTACCAGCTTTAAGAATGATGCATCGCGAGGTGCTATGCCGAATAACGTGACCCGATCCAAGAAGCTGGGATTCGAACGATGGTACCTCAGTAATTAGCCTAGGAAAGCAACCCTTGCTCAACCCTGGCTGGAGCCCCTCAATGTCGTTGTCATCGTCATTTGCAGTCCCTGGTTGGTGAAAGACGGCACGAGGTGAAGTGGTATTTCCCGGTAGATGGGGTTCGTCTCGGTCACCTCGGGCCAAAGTTAGGCGGTGGATTTCTGCAGCTTACCAGCCCATGTTGCCTCTGGAGAGGGGACTCACTGGTTTGACTTGAGCAATTTCCAGCGAGTCAAGGCTCAATTCTGGGGAAAGCGATTTTGGTTCATGCCTTCAACCCCATTCTGTAAGCCATTGGCCCAATGGGAAGGGAATGCCCTGCCCGGATTGTAAAGGCAAAGACGTCGGCAGAGACGGTAGGAAATGAGTAGTCGAGGAGCAGGGTCACGCTGTGAGGAGTGCGGGGTGAGGTGGTGGCTGGACCTTCCCGGGGTTTGTGGGGAAACCTGGAGAAGGTAGGGGATGTCTTTCAGAACCCTGGCCGTTCATCTGATCAATTCATCTTAGGTTGTTTTTCTGTATGAGATGAAATATACTCTCGATTGGATCAGAGAGATCTTGAATATCAGAGCATACGTGAAGTCTCAGGGGTTGATCCACACTCTGTCTTATTGAAACCTAGGTGCGCGGGATGTTCGAGGGGAATTGCAGAACACCACAAATGTGACTTCAATGTCGTTTGCGATCTCACCTTTCTTGATTTTACTCGACGTAGTTAATATCCACGTGAACAAAGATGATGGTTAGAGCCAGCCAGAGAATGTTTCACAACACGGATGATATTAGGACTCTTTCCTGGCTGTATCTTAGTTGCCTGCAGTCATCTTACGGCCCAACCTTGCTCCAACAAATCAGGTATCGATACGTCTACACAGCAAAAGGGTGGCAGTCACAGCCTGATCTCGATATTGTTCCGAAATTCCCAACAGTCAATCAATGAATTTTCCGATTCTGTCAGCAGCCTGCGGCCTTCTCATGTATGACAGCAGCAGCAACCTTTCTTCCCTCACTCTTCCACGTTATCAACCCCGCTCGGCTGTCCTTCTTCAAAACAGCGACAACCTCACCCGCGAAATCCATCTCCGGCCAGGATGGCAGACCTCGGCACAGTCGTCGGCGTGGTGTCACTCTCACTTCAAGTCTTTGAATATGTGCACACCTACGTCGACGCCCTGCAGGGCCGGAAAGAGGACCTCGCGTCCACCACTCGTCACTGCGAAACCATGCACAGACTCTTGGAACAGACGAAGACCTTGCAAGAAAAGTATTCGACGTCTCCCAACCTTAGCAGCGTAGCAGTCAAGCAGGCCGTGTCAGCGACCGTCACGGAAATGACGCTGCTTCGGGACCTGGTTGCTAAGATCGCCCCCGACCATTCGCAACCGAAGTCGATAGCGGGGCGGTTAGACAAGCAGAAGCAGCGCATGCTCTATCCATTCCGACGACCACACTTGGAACAGCTCGATGAGCGATTGGCCAGGGCTAATGAGGCTCTCCAAAGCACGCTTCAGCTTGCAGTGTTGTACGTTGTATGTTGGTCCACTGGGCTTCATCGTCTAACCTCTTTAAAGGGAAACAACGACCGAGACCGGTGACTTTCTCAAAAACGTCCAGATGGACCTAGAGTCATCCCGCGTCGAGATGAGCGACAAGCTCGATAATCTCCAAGACATCTCCAAACAGGGACGCAACGCAATCAGTGCTTCGCACCAAGAAACGTCACTCATGAGGACTGAGCTGCAGCTTTTTATCCCCCGATCGACAAGCCAGGCACATGTATCTCTAGAAAAAATACAGAACATTGAGAGGCTTGTCGACGGGAGTTCTTCGCTGATTTCTGAGACACACCGAAACACCCTGGCACTAAGGGAGAGCGTGGACGAGCTTACTATGATGTTGAAAGACTTGAGAAGCCCGACTGCGGGGGTCTTTTGTCAAAAACTAATATCCAAGCCTTCCACGCTCAAACTCATATGCGACCAAGAACGGGCTGTCACGGAATCTGGCCAATTCGCTGACAGGGAAACTAATTTGAAAGACATTTATTCCAGCCTCTTCTCTTGTTCATGCCACCAGCGCCGACGACGCCAACGCAAGAGACACCAGTTCGGGCGTGCTTTCCTAGCCCAGGAGATCTTCACAGACAACGCGCATTCTCCCGGCTGTCCATTTTTCGATGTGTCTCAGTCTCAGACCCGTCAGTCCCTAGGGATTTCTGTGACGATGTTCCGCGCCGCGGTGTCTGTGGCTATGACCTTCACGATGAGATCGTCGTCAGGTGCAGGTGGTTTCGGAATTTGCCCGTCCTTCGTTTACTATCCGGTCAACCAGAGATCACCAGCATTACATGTCATACACATTCTAGAGACATCTTATGGGCACGTTGGCAGCCAAGGCTTCTCACGAATACTACAAAAAGGCCTCGAAGTTTTGCGCTGGACTTTTAAGTCGAAGAGGGCGTCACCTCTCGACCGCACGAACTATGGTGCGAGTCTACTCGAAGAGCTTCTTCATACTGGAGTTATAATTTCCAAGTCGCGAGAATATCTCAAAATCGTGGCTACGGTGGCTAAGTTTCTCGTTACTGCCGGAGTTCCTCGAGACAAGGAGAACGATATTATGTGGCATGTATTCCAGTTTATTTGCTTTTACGCAAGCTCTTAAGATAAGATAGAATACCACTGACCGTAATTGAGAGCAGGCTTCCATGGCATTGGGTTATCTCTCTGGCTGGTGTGCACTGTGACTGGTATACTGAAACTTGGCAACAACTGTTCGAAGTTTGCTGGGTTGACGACTCCCCCCCCCCCGCAACCGACGGGTCTTACAGCTATGATTGTTGGACACCATTGCATTTCTGTTTTCAAGAGAGATTCTGTCATAGTCTGAGTGACCGACAAGTGGAGTGTGAGTGGGATTTCCCCCCCTTCTGTGACGATCACATTAACAGTAACCAGTGCTTAGGAACGATTTGCAGTTGGCCATTTCTCGTAAAGATACAAGTTATCTTCTCGATATCCTCAAAACTCGGCCTTCAAGTACAGAATTCTGCACGAAAGATGCCTTCGGATCCACGGCATTGCACATGGCAGTGGCATGGTTGGATGGATTACGCATAATACTGGATCACATTGAGAACTCAGTTCTCGACGAGCACGACAACACCAACACCTCTGTTGTCCAATGCGCGATGGGCCTCAGTCACGACAATTGCTCTGTGGACACGACTCTTCGATGTTCAGATTCTTGTTCCTGCGTCGATGCAGTCGTCCTGCTTCTGGAAGCCAAATGCTCAATGTTCTCCCGTGACAACAATATAACGAACTTTGAACTAGCAACCACTCGATGCCAGGAAATATTCATTCATCACCTCAAAAAACGGCGACAGGAACTAGCTAAGCTAGCTTTGCTTAATCTGCATCCGCGGGATATTGCCAGGTTCAACTTAACATCACCATCGATACTGGATTACTACACTACAGAAGTAATCGCAGCTTTGGAACGTCGATGTGTTGATGTCCCCCGTTGGCTTCGCACAGGGTATCCGTGTAGTTACCACGATTTGCGCAGCCGTATGGAACCATGCGCCCATTCGGTCTATGAAATAGTAGCATCATGCTTATTGGACCCAATTGTCAACTTGGATAGGCTTTATGCAGCGGGCTTTGTCGATACCACTAGCACATCGCCATGTGGTATAGCTCCGGCCATGCACACCTCCAGGCCGGACACGTTCATCTGGCTTGTGCAACATGGTGTTGGTTTGTTGACTCCCAGGGCACCTGCAGCATACCGTGTCACGGGGTATCGAGCTGTGCATCACTTGTTCTTTTACCACTTGCGCGTGTTGAAATCACCTGATCAATATAGACAAACACAACGTCAACATGAGTGTATCATGCAGCTGAGTGAGCGACTACAAGGCCATTCCTGCGAGGACTGCTGCATATGTGGATGCTCAGTAAGTGGCTGCCATCCCTGGACGATGGTATGGAAACGGTTGCATGCGCTGGGTGCATATCTGTCATCACGGGAAAACTTTGAATTATTAGTAGAACGCCGCGATGAATGTTTGAAAAAGTTCGAGGATTTAGCGGATGTACCAGCTGAGGTTAAGGCTATTGCTCTGCGAGCGGTTACATTTGACGCCCTCCAGATTCGCCATACCTGCTGCGAGGACGGCCTGAATAAACCGGGTACGGACGAGAACGAAGTGAAAGAAATTCGAGAGGAGGACACTGTTGAACTGGAGCGACTTGAGAAACTACTGGTTGAGTTTGAAGGAGAGCTACAGCGGCAAGGCTGCTCCCTTGGCCAGTTTTTTCGAACATACTGGGACGATCGGATGATTCAGGTGTTTCGAGAGAAAGATGAGCAAACTATCACCCAAGAGAACCTAGCGGGCGCCGCTGAGTTAGGAGTTCGTCTGGACTGTGAAGAGACAGGACCTGTGAGTCTGTACGGCTCTTTGTATTGGCAAGAGCCGGATTATTGGATAGAGAAGCTGGACGATTTGATGGAGTGAGGATTTATTTCAAGTTGAGGCGTTTGGTATGTTGTGGCGTTTGGTATGTTATGGCGTTTGGTATGTTGTGGCGTTGTTGATCAAATCTGCGGTTTACTTGGGCTCTACCTTTTCCATACGTTCTTTCGTTTCAGTAAGAGAGTATCGCGGCTTCCTAAGCTAAATTGACATTCAAGCAATCCAGACGCGACCGGCTATTTCAACAGCAGAACTTGTTATTGATATAACACGCTGTTTTCGCTGAATAGTTTAAAATGTCACAGGTGCCATCCTTCCATTGCGCTACAAATCGCTAGTGGTACGTCAGCATGGAAATGGATAACTCTATCCGTCCCTGGTCGTCCTATTTTGGCCATTTTCCTGCCCCACGAAACTGAGATACCTCCAGGCAGCCTCTAGGATTGAAGTTGCTCATCTGTTCTACATCTGATGGGCTACTTTTCTCCTTGCTCATACCCTTGACTATTATGGCAGTCATTCGATGTGCACACCATTGATGACTTTTACTCACTTTTGGGCTCAGACGCCGCATTCTAGAGAACAGTTGAGCGACAAGAGGCGGGCCCAATATAAGCTCCAACATTTAAACTGTAATATATGAAGATTGCAGTTGGACAATCTACAACTTTGAAACAGTGACTTCTGTCTTTCCACTTGACAGATCGACTTGGTATCCTCCCCTCGTCTTTGTGGCGCCAGAGACCTCGAATACAGCCCCTCCCGTAGTCTGAGAAAGCCAAACAATCGACGAAGACGCCTTCAGAGCCGCCTCGGAAGCAGCTTGGTCAACGCTGAGCTTCACAGTCTGTGCCTCTCGGTCATATGTCACAGTTGCAATAGCACCGGCACTCAAAGAGATCTTGAGGCCCAAATCCGCCACGAACACCCGGCGACGGACCGCATCTCTCGGCTCAGCAATCACCGCTGTATCGCTAGACTCAATGACATTGCCACCGAACACAACCTCGCCGTACTTCTCCGTGTTCACAATGTAAAGAGTCTGCCCGAGACCGAGACCAAGGAACCCCAGACCGTAGTCGCCGGTGTAAGGGTCCCATTCGAGGTGCTCGGGGAAGGAGTGGAATGCCGCGGACGGGAAGCCTTCCTTGTCGATGTTGCTCAGGGGGGCAGTGTTTCCGGCGAAGGCGACGCGGATGGCGTTGAAGTCGCTCGGGTGGCGCTCGTAGTAGTGGAGCATGGGGAGGGAGTTGAGGCCGGAGCCGTAGTGGTGGATCTGGCGCTCGGTGCCGGTGTGTTTGGCGCCGTAGTTGAAGTCCCAGTATCGTCTAGCGTTACCGTTCCAGCCCCAGTGGGCTACAGTGGGCATGTAAGCCGTGATACTGTTGATGGCCTTGGTCGCAGTACTATTGAGACCGAAGTAGCTGATCATGTTAGCTGGGTCAGTATGAATATCCAGAGAACGTGGCACTTACTTGGTCCAGTAGTAGACTCCCTCCTGACCAGTGCTATCCCAGGCCATTTCGCTTCCGAAAGGTACTGCAAGAGTCTCCCAAAACTCAGCCCGGAACTTCATCGACTCCTCGAAAGCAGCCGCCTCCTGAGTCATGTTCTCCCGCTTGAGATCCTCAAGCAGCTCTGCGAAGACCGTCTCCCCCATCAACCCAGTCAAACCATAGTCACAGTCGGCAGCACCATCGGCCAAGCAGTACTGGACAGTATTGAATGCTTGGTTTAGGTACCAGCTCCAGTCCTCTCGAGTCTTAACATCCGGGTGATCTCTGGCAACGCGGTACATGGACCAGTACGCCACCACCGGATGCACGTAGTTATACGCACGAACCGTGGTGTATGCCCTCTCCTTATTCCATGCAGCCCATGTAGTCCAGTCAAAGTCGGGGTTGTATGTGTAGTTCACAGCATCGGGCTGGTAGAAGAAGGTGCTCGCGCGGACTGCGAAGGAGTCGGGCGGCTGAATCGTTCCGAGGACGGTCTCGTGGATGAACTCATCGAGGACCTCAACCTCGCTTGCGACGGGCTGAACGAACAGCTTCGTGGCCGCAGCGACGTACGCGCCGGTGCCTCCCTCGTCACTCAGACCTGCGATCCAAACTCGGTAATCTTGCTCCACAATGGCGTTCACTTCGCGGTCGTAACCCATGATCGATGGGGCACGTCCGAAGGGGTCGGATTCGTCCGTGAAGTGTGCAGCCGTAGTGAGAAAGTGGCCCAGATCCGCAACAGTCTCAGTAGCGGCTTTGGTGATGAAGTAGTGAACCACTTGAATCTTGCCATCCTCGTAAGTGATGGTGATCTTGGTTCTGCCCCAGGTGCCTTCCGTTGGGGTCAGCAGGTAAGGCGAGCCCTTCGCTGCCTCATCCTGCTTCACTGTGAAAGCACCAGAGTCATCTATAGACTTGACGGGGGAAGAGTGCGTGAGGTAGAGGCGGGCAGTGAGATCTGAAGGAACAACGTATCCCGGGATGCCCACCGCGAGAGGGATGTTGGACTTCTCGACGGCATCTTCGATGGTTTGGATGCTCTCGGCAGCAACAAATCTGAGACCGACGGAGTATGTCTCACCGGCCTGCAGGGTCTTGGAAGTAGGTGTGTTCCAGGGTGCACCGCCCTTCCACTCATTCTCAGCCCACGCTTGTGAATGGATCATCCACTCATAGTTACCCTCGTAAGTCTGCGACTGGTAGTAGAAGTCGCCCTGCGGCTCACTGAGTAGTCTCCATGCTTCGAGAGGGCTTGATCCGAGTGGCGCAACGACAAGCGCGTTGCCTGTTCCCGTCACAGGGGAAACGCGAATGTATCCGGCATCAAGTCCAATGTAAGGATCCGCAAGAGAGCACTTCTCTTGGATATTCTCTGCCGTTCGGGTGTTGAAGACGTTGTTGATAGTGACGGGAAGGCCAAGGGATCCAAGTTCAACCGTAGCGTTGGCCGTGTTGGTCACATTGATACGCAGCGCGAGGCCTTCGCCCTCGGCCAGCCATTCTCTGGTGACAGTCAATGGCAGACCGCTCGGCAATGTTGGGCTCAGGTCTGCACCGGCGATGACTCCAGCGTCGAGGTTCTCCAAAGCTGTGACTGGGCTTCTGGTGCTGGCGGAGTCGACATCGGTCCAGTTGTTGCTGCCGGTGACCTTGAAGCGAAAAGTGACATCTCCGATGAAATGCGCGCCGGTTGTATGCGTCAGGTTCGGGAGGAAGTCGGAGGGCAGAAAATCGAAGCCAGATCCGACCTTGAGCGAAGCGAGTGTCTGGGAATCGCGAACTATCTGGCCGGTGAACTGGCCAGCTTCATAGTCGATGAAGCCATTGCCAATACCAAGGTTATCGTCGTTGGCCTGAGCCTTGGCAAGCTTTGCAAGAACCAGTGTCAGCGCTGGCACGAAGCCTGGGAGACGGAGCATCTTGGAAGACAAGAGTCGCTATGCGCAAGCTCTGTAATGCACAAAAGTTGCGACGTTCGTACCTTGCATGCATGTCGTACATCGAACGGCGTACCTTGCCTCTTAAGTCTTCATCGTTATTGGAGGTAAATCACCCTTGCCCATCTGCACTGCTCCCCCATTCGCCCGCAAAGAACTGCCGTTTGGTGACATCAATGAGGCATCGTTCCATCGGCTGTGGAGGACCATCTCAATCAAGAAGCTCGGGAGGAATTCATGCGAAGGAGAAATAGAACATTTCGGGGAATCACCCGATTCCTTCGGCTATTAGCAAATGATCGACAGGCGCGTCTCTATAATATGACCGGGGTTCTCGCTACACCTTCATGTAAGGTACCTCGCATGCACTTGAGCGGAGTCGTAATCATCATGTGGGTGATATCTTTTGTGCTTCCCCTCAAATTTCGACTGCTATCTGGTGAGGTCACCTCGGAAAAGCGGCCGGGATGTTGCTTCCTTTCAATCAACCTCAGATGGGTGGTTGCAACCTTGATCCACTGGGAGAATCTGGGGTCGGATGCTCGTGACCACCATTGACTGAATCAACCTTAACTTTAGACTTGAAAAGCAACAAGAACTTCCTTTTGCCAGAATTCTGTCAATAAAATCAGTGTGATGCTACAAGTAGGTATGAGAAAGATTTTAACTCCTCTCCGAGTGCAACTGAAGATGAGGAGGACCGGTAGTAGATCTCGTCAATTTCGTGAAGATGAGCCAAAGTAAAAACGCCAGATAAAATGCCCCACGAGCCCCCTCAAACCAGATCTAGGGTTGTTCATCAAGCACCGTAAAAGACATCCATTCATTATCCTCCCACTCCATTGAACTGACCACATCGATGATCTGTTGCGCCGTCAGATCCTCTGCCTGGCTGCTGGTTTCCTTCGTAAAATCAGGATATGCTGGCGCTGCGTCCGTTTGTACCACATCTTGAAGAACAGAAGAGGGCTCGGTCTGCTGCCACTCCGCTGTCTGAACCGCGTCGACTACACTGTTGGCGTTCCCCGACTGAGAGGCGAGGAATTCGCTGAGCATTTCTTCCAACTTCTGCATTTCGTTTCTCCTGAACTCGGCGATGAGATTTCCACCAGCTACCATTTCCTCAAGTATGGCATGCGACTTTTCGAGCCATGGGGATTGACTCTCTATCAAGCGAGAATCCACGGCGCGGGCGACAAGGAGGGCAACTGTGGATACGAATAAGGAGTCGAGGTCGAGCGGAAGGAATGTTTCTTGGACAAAAGTCAGTCTTCGATAGCAAAAGAATAGTGCTTCAATACTCCATGGACTTACCCAGCAGGCCCTGTGCTCTGAGGCGGTCGAGGATGTTGAGGATCTGAATGGAGGATTCTGCGCACATCTGCACAGGGTTCCGAACTTTAGGAGATGCGATCAACGAGTCTGCTTCAAGAGGCGACTCAAATCGCTTGATGAGGCAGCACAGGAGGAGAGGTCTCGTTGCGAGGACGATGCACTGGGATTTCGTCGTCAGTGAGAGAATGGGCTGGCACTTCAGGCATTCTTACCTGGTAGTACAGAAGGTGTAAGTGAGCAGACAGTCGAGAGATACCGTCAAATCTCTCATCAGCATGCAGCGGGAAAGATGTCCGCAGTTCATCGGCAACTGAAACGATACTTTGCAGAACTGCTTTGGTTCCAAGCACAAACCTCTTGTTGAGTCTGCCCGTTGTGCCATAGACGGCTGAGCCGAGTCCGTTAGCAAGAACTAACATGACAGACCGTAGAGAAGATTGACTCACTGCTGCTGATCTCGGCAATGATGCGAGCAAATTTGATCTGCATACTCAAGGCCGTCGTTCGTTGTACGGACCCGGAGTAGGACGGAAGCTGACAATAGACGCCCTCGTCTAACGTAGACTGTGGTAACCCCATTAACGAGCTCATCTGACGATCCAGGACATACACTGTCCACCAGATCTTGCGACATCTTTGAACGAGTTCGGGTCCCAAATCCATTATTGGCATGTCTGTATGCATTCCGTGATTCATTGCCATGCTCTTCGCCTGCCCAATCTGTTGAGGTGTTTGTAAGTTATCTTAGGCTGTATAGTCTCTGATGGACTTACGAAGTTGTGTGATGAATGCCGGAAGTCTAAAGCTTGGTAGTACCAAGCGATAGAGCACAGGATTTCGGAGGATAGTATGGGTTCCTTGCATAGTGCAGTGACATCAGGCAACAGCTGAAGAGCTCTTACAAAGAAGTCCGCCCCAGCTGGCCTCTTGCCTTCGCTCTTCCGCTGTATGAGACTCTTTCCAAAGGCGAGGATGACAAGGAAGTGAATATACCAGAGGCTGGTGTCTTCTGCCCTATCGGTGGAAGACTTGGCATAGAAGTTCTGCATATTGACCATGAACTCGTCCACCTCAAACAGGTGAAACATTTGGCCGCAGTGAAACTTCACTGCATTGATCAAGAAGATGGCGTAGTCGATGCTGGGTATTAGTCGACTGTCCAAAGCTTGTGTAGTCCGAGAGCCGTCCCATCCCAAGTCGTAAGCGCATCCGTCGAACAGCAAGCTGTTTGTAGGGAGAGGAGATTGGTAGACATGTTGATGAGTGACGCTGAGTACTTGGCGTGAGAAGGACCAGTTGGATGAAGGAGCGAGAAAGTCTACATCCAAGTTAGTTTTGGAACATTGCAAGAAACAAGTCCATCTTACAAGCCATTCCATTGGACGCCGATAGACAATACCTGGATGGCGTTGCCGTAAGCGGATTTGTCAAATCTGGCCCGTCGCCATCAGGTTGATTCCTCGGCGGAGAGTCTCTTCGGACTGCCTCTGGGCTATGATAGCTGTGCCTCCGGTGCTCGTCATATCGTGAGGCTTCTCCGAATTCATCTGTTTATTTGTTAGTGCGAGCCCAAGCCCGTTAAAAGACTACTTAAACCGGTACCTTCTTGGTTAGCAGCACTCTCAGCACTGCCTTCACCTCTTCTCAAGCTTTCCTCTGCAAAGGCTCTTGCTTGAAGGCGTTCTAAGCGTGCGATCTTCTGCTGTAACTCTGACAGGTACCTAGCGTAGTTGATGTCAGAATAAGCCCTTGCCCAAGGAAAGTCAGCGCTGAATGACATACCCTTGGGTGACCATAACCTTGTTATCGCGCTCATCGAATATGCAGGTTAGCCGCCGCTGAGTACAGTTGTTGCACGGATGCAATCCCGAACACTTGATCTTCTGCCTCCGACATCGCGAGCACCTGCCGACAGAAGCGCCAACCGTCAGCACATCTGATCAAGACGAACATAAACCGCCGGCTACCCACGCATAAGATGATCGCTTCGTGATCCGTCGCTGAGTGTTTGAAGACTCCATCAGGAACTACCGCTTCCAGAAACATCAACTGTCTTGGTACAGCCATCACAGGTGGATATCGGGAAGGCCAACCGCTCGAGTCCCCCAGATATCCGTAGTTTCGAAGCGGTGCGGGGTCGGAGACGTCTCCTCATCGGCTCTCCCGCATTGCCTCCTGAGTCAATTGCAGATAAGAGATACGTACTGATACGAACTGATAGGACCGCTTATCTAGGTAGATCCTAGGACTAACTTATCTCCAGATGCCTTTTCGAGCATTTTGTCGTGTCATTAGGACGTCGGGTGGTTGGTGGGATGCGGGGTGCATATCAGTCCGTCCGTGCCGCCGATGGTTGTCTTGGCCATTGGTCCGTTGCCGGCCGGGCATCCCCTGCCGATAGTTCGACTGGCAGCTTGCAGACACGCGTTGAACCCCCGAGTTGGCGTCCATTTTATGGGTATTGTTGGCCTATTTGGAAGGGCCAGTGAAAGAGTAATAAGCAGGGGATGGCTGGATACTAGCCGATAGTAAGCGAGAGACATCAACAAACGCGAACGACTCAGTTTAAACGACCAAATTAGCGAACTTAAGAACCCAAGCCATTTGACTCTCGACAAAGCTTTCTAATAGGGAATGCTGCTAGTAGAAAAAGGCAGGTATAGACTGTATCTCCCTGGTGAATAGTAACACGTCAAACTAAACCTCAACTACTTAAATGATTAGAGGATTTAACTAACTGTTAAGTCTTCATGTCACTATTGCTCAATTCAACTATAGGAAAGTTCTGGAATATGTATAACAGTGATTATGTATTTATGATTGTTTCTTAAGAGTTAGACGAAGCGGCAACTTTCTTATTGTACTACAAGAGTGAACTGCTGAGTGGTGTTGTGGTCTCAGCAGTGAAATGAGTCAACCGCGCGCAAGTCGTAAGGACAAAATCATCTTCCTGAAGTGAGAATGGAAAAGACATCTTGTGTCTGCTGGGTGTTGACAACTCGTTGATTCTAGTCTACTCCTGCCATACTATGCACAGAGTCTTATGGCAGGGTAATGTGCCATAATTTCAATAGACTGAGACCTAATTGAACTAAATTGCAAATTATTTGGGAGACGAAACAATGGATCCTCTTCAGTCTCCAAACCCAGAATCAACTTATCCCGCATATCAATGTCTGTCAATTTATAGACAAGCATTTCTAGTCAACGATTCTTATTTGGAGTCGCAGGATAAAAGAATGATTTCTGTGACAAGTTGGCAACTCACTCATGAGAACCACTGGCGTCGCAATTCTGGCATCTTCTCTAAAGCCCATAGCAAGTTACCAATCTTATATATAAAGCCATAAATTACCGCGGTTCCTACACTGTCTCAACATTCTCAGACGTTAGACAAATCATCCCATCAGCGTTTCTCATAAAGAAGTATACAGAGCGATTGTGTCAAAGTTTCAAACGACACAATGGTCATCTAAAGCTTAGCCCCAAGAGAAACAATTTGGATATATCCTAAACTAGAGTATTGATGAGATCTGAATATGTATATATAGTGACAAACAGTCCAAAGTCTTCATAACCTTCTGGCATCTTTCTTTCCAATGCATTCTCAGTATACAGTTCACAAAGAGATGACATCACAAGCACTAACATAAAAGTACTACACAAGCCTTTAAATCAGTCACCTGCCCGTGAAAGACGCAGTTGGAGTTGCATTGGACTGCAAACTCGAGCCCGTCCCTTGACGGCTAGTTACTAGCCCCGTCTGTTCTAAGCCGCACTTGATTCACGAGGAGGCATTATCGACGGTCACCATGACGACTCGGTTTTCTTCAAACCCTTCTCAGCTGGCCATGGGTGCTTTCTTTCCAAAACCAAAACGTGTGCTTGCCCTCGAAAATATTTAGTCACCCACAAAACTTTTCACCTTCTGCCAGTTTGGCATCATCATCAACTTGCCATCGCCAAACCTCGTCTTTGGAGTCCGCCTTGAGCTGAAGGCGAGGCTCTCATCGCATCGAGACGATAAAATCGCGACGATAAAATCGCGACGAACGAAACCGGTCGCCTCAAAAATAGGTTTGTTGATGATTTTTGCTTGCCCCGATCGCTTGGCTGATGTACGTAGCTTTCAGACCCGACTCACGACGCAAGGAACAGCGACTCTACCATCACCTACTAGCACTTCGTGATGGACGGCCACATGGATTCGAACGGCGGTATGCTCCCGGGACAGAGCTTGTCACACCACCCCAAGCTGAAGCCCGGAGAATCCTTCTACGACGACTACGATGTCTATTGCACCGCTGTGCATTTCCACTTCACTACTCTTCATATGGCTGGCGCCTCGTCCTACAACCACGAACCTGACGCCGAAAAGGCCAAACTTTTTCGTTTCTTACTCAAACATCTCGAAGGCTTCACCTGGCACAATCTGAATCATGAGACATTCGGTCATTTGGCTGTTGCGTTGGCGAACGTGTTTCACACCAAGTTCGCTCAAGGCCAGAAGTTCTTTTCCGCCGACGAGAAGAGACGCGCCCAGAAGTTTTACCGCAAATTGCGAGACGTCAGATTTGCGACAATGGCTGGAGAGAACGGCCAGGTCAGTGTCACAGGTTACGACATGCCCGATCCTCAGATGGTATCAACTCCTGTCAGCCTTCCCCAAGTTCCTCATCTGTCCTCTCCAGCTGCTGTCCACGACGCTTCTCTCGTGGCCTTTCCAGCCAACTATCACGGGGGTTATCTAGCGGCCTCTTCAGACACCGGCCCCGAGCTTGCTCTCGAGGCGTCTAGAAGCACCAGTCCCGAACTTGCTCTCGCGGCGTCTCGAAGCACCAGTCCTGAGCTTGTTTCTCCAGCCTCTTCTCCCATTGTCGTGTACTCGGACACCGAGCCCACGTCGCCCACCTCGCCCAGCTTTTGCCGCCCACCCGCAGACCACCCGATCTTTGGCGACGAGGGACCCATGAGAGGAATTGCTTACAAGTTGAAGAACAAGAAGAAGTCTTGGGTCGCGAACCCAGACTACGCCCACCTCAAAAAGGAGGCTAAACGTCTCGGACACAACGGTATCGCCGTCGGCTCATGGTGGCCTGCTCAGTCAGCCGCCGTATTCAACGGAGCCCACGCTTCCTGGTACTCGGGTATCAGCGGAACATCTCATGATGGTGCCTACTCAGTCGTCAGGTCAGGCAAACCCGACCTTCTCGACCGAGACAACGGCGACGTGCTTCTCTACTCCGGATCGAAGACCGGCAACAAAGCCCTCTTGGCCTCCCTAGAGAACCAGCTCCCTGTTCGCGTGCTTCGTGCAGCCGACACCGGCAAGGACATCACCAATGTCTGGGCTCCTGTGGTCGGCATCCGATATGATGGACTGTACCGCGTTCATGCTGTCCACGGCCAAGTCGACGGCGATGACAACGGCAACTCGCACTTGCGGTTCGAGCTCCACCGTTTGGGTAACCAGTTGGAGTGGGCGACGCTCATGGCAATCCCTGACCAAGAGCAGCGCAAGATCCACGGGGAGATGAAGGAGGGATACTAATGACAAAAGGGCATGGCGCCTTGTTGGCAGCTAAAGCTCGTTGAATCACTGAGGGGCCTACATAACTGCTTGGCAAAGAGCCAGTGGACTGGAACTGGCTTTCTCTTCCGAAGGTATGCCTACAATCTCGAGAGGAAAGGAACTTGGGCTGACATCGCAGGGAACTCGACGAGATTGCCTACGACAGGGCTTCGCTCGGATTGGGAGGATCATGATACCTGCCCGCAAAGCTTATGGCATGGATGAGCAACATCCTATTGGAATGGTTCGACGCGGTTGAGAGGACGGATTTGGAAGGGATGACTTGCTTGAGGACACAGTACAGGGGCCGGATGCAGGCTCGGGATGCCCGATCGATAAGTATCGGAGATCGGGAGGCACCCCGAGGCAACGTATGATTTGGCGGATGATCGTCACTATGATAATTGGTTGCTGGAAACGCGGCAGCGGTTGCTGGACATTGCAAATAGGTCAATAGGGAATTCGTTTAGCACACTTCTTGGCAGTTCATGGTGATTGGGGCGGCTCGTAGCATACCGGCGACGTCGATGTTAAGTGAAGCTCCCCCGCAACAGTGAACCGCAGGCTGTTTCTCCGCATCTACGCAAAGCTGCCCATTGTGACGTCATCCAGACTTGCAGTTGGCTTCGTATTCTACATGCAAGTTGATTTTAGGGATGAGATCCGACAGAACCATCAACCATAGAGAGAATACTACCCTAAAGACGGGAGAATGTATTCCAACGGGCGAATGTCACCTTTTGTGAAGAGCTTCGGGCGCGTTGCAACCTGACGAACTGGGCATGAGCTGCCTAATCCAGTAAACGAATTGCCCATGATCATCATATAGATATATCAGGAGTACCGCCGACGATTCCAATGTCCCCGTCTTCTCTAGTGCCAGTGATGAGGCTGCTTCGGTTTCATTGAACTCCTATTACTATGAGATATCAACTCTTCTCCGCAGCCATACTCCTAGTTGGCGTGGTGCCTGCGCTCACTGCCGTCCTGCCACCGAGACAGGCCCCTGATGCGGCAGATGGGGTGACCACCATCACCAGCCCGGGAGGCTCACAAATTCGATTCAAAGAACCCGGTAAGGAGGGAATCTGTGAAACCACTCCAGGAGTGAACTCCTATAGTGGTTACATTGACATCGCTCCTGATGTGCACGTCTTCTTCTGGTTCTTTGAATCGCGTCGAGACCCCGCCAATGACCCTGTAAGCTTCTTGGACTTCTAGCCCGGTAGGGCTTGAGCTTTGAAGCCCTCCCGCTGATTGTTATGCAATAGGTTACCCTCTGGCTCAATGGAGGGCCTGGGTCTGACTCCCTAATTGGTCTATTCGAGGAGATCGGACCCTGCGAGGTTGTTGAGAACATGACTACGGTCTTGCGGGATTACTCCTGGACTGAGATCTCCAACGTGTTATTTCTTTCACAACCCGTTGGAACAGGTATTTGCTCGAGTCCTCCGAAGTTTCAATCCCTCTACTAAAATCTCACGCAGGTTTCTCTTATAGTGAGAAAGAGGTGGGTTTCCTTGACCCAACCTACCTTCTCGTAGACAAGGAAGCCGAAAGCCCCGACGAGAGAGAGGGCCGCTGGGCAGTCATAGATCCTACAAAGGAGGATACTAGTCGACTAGCTGCCATTACCTGCTGGGAGGTTCTGCAAGGCTTTTACGACGCTTTGCCGCAGCTGAGCCCGTCCAACATCTCCTCAATCGACTTCCATCTCTGGGCTGGTAGGTTCTCCAGCACAGATGTCAATCCCCTCGACTGATGTCGTCTAGAATCGTTCGGTGGACACTGGGGTCCTGCATTTTACACCTTGTTCAACGAGAAGAACTCGGAACTTGACGAAAACACCACCACGGGTCGGAAGCTCAACTTGAAGAGTCTTGGTATCGTCAACGGCATCGTAGACGAGCATGTCCAGACACGGTATCTGCTTGACTTCACAAGAGCCGAGAACAACGGCTATGGTGTAGACCTCATCAACGACACGATCTATGAGTACGGCAAGTGGAACCGAGATCGTCCTGGTGGTTGCCAAGAGAAGCTCGACTACTGCGACTGGCTCGAGAGAGACTCCATTGTTCGTCGTTCGGCTTGCTCGGCCGCTCAGTTCATCTGCCAATCTGATGTTGAGGGCATGTTCTACACTTTCAACTTAGAAGGTCGCGGCACATACGACATCGTAAGTTGCCTTACACAGAGTGCAATTGCTGGTGAAAACAACTGACGAAAACAGCGCTTCCGCTCTGGAGAAGATGTCCCACCCAACTATTGGCGAGTATGTGACTGCCATGAGTTTGTGACACACCACGATAACTGACAATCCGCAGCCGTACTTGAACACAGGGCCAGTCCAAAACGCACTCGGTGTAGACCTCAACTACACGTCGAACAATCTGCTTTACACAGCTTACACCCTCTCAGGAGACTTCGCTGTCGGCTATCTACCTGACATTGAGAAGCTGCTCGAGCTAGATGTTCAAGTGTCTCTGGTGTTCGGGGATGCGGACTACATCTGTAACTGGATCGGCGGCGAAGCTCTTTCACTCGCCGCTAATTGGTCTGGTGCAGAGGACTTCCGCGATGCAGGCTACACCGAGTTGACGGTTGACGGCGTCGCATACGGTGAAACGAGACAATACGGAAAGCTCAGCTTCACTCGTGTCTGGAATGCTGGCCATGAAATTCCCTGTAAGAATCCAGTCTCCTTCACATACGCCAGATGAGAAGAACGGTCTAACATTCGCAGACTTCCAACCTTCTGCATCCTTTCAGATCTTCAACAGAACCACCAATCGCTTCGACGTTGCTACTGGCGAAGTTGAGATTACGCCTGACAGCACTTTCAAGACCAACGGCACGGCTAAGACGACAAAGACCACTACGCTCCCGCCTTTGCCTGCACAGACCCAGGCGTGAGAGATCACCACTTCATGTAACTATGGAATTAGGTCGAGCGAAAGGGATGTCTTAGGGGCCTAGATCATGTTTAGTCTATCTAAGGGACTCCTAGCAATAGCTACATAATTGAGCGTTCATTTTGAATGAGCATGGGACCTTTTGGTCTAGTCACTGAATATCGACTGATTAACTCTTCCGAACTCTCGCCTAATACTATCACATTCTACTAGAAGCTGACACAGGCTATGTCAAGATTGATTGGTATGTATGAATGCTCAATTGTCTGTCGAGAACCCGAAAACATAGCCGTTCACTGTTTTAGCTTCCCAAGACATACTCTTAACAAGTATTGCGACGATGCTAACTTGCAATATCCACCACCGGAAACTGGGCTACGTGAAGCTTCGCAGTTCCGTATGGTACCAACTTGGCCGTAAAAGGGTCGCCCTGAACTTTCCTCTCCACATCACCAGGATCAGCTGCCGTCCCGTTAAGAGTAGGCCAACTGACCCAAGCTGCTGTGACTTCGAGATGCACGGGAGAAGCCCCGGTGTTCCAGACCGGATCGGGGAGGCCAGAAACCTTCCTTTGCTCTCCTTCACTCCAAGGCTGTCTATCAACAACAACCTTCACTGTCTTTGATGGATCGATACCAATGTTCCAATCAGAGAGGGGAAGATAGTCATGGTCTCGTGTTTGTGTCATCCATGGCTCGTGCTCCTGCTCTCTTACGGCAAGAATTTCAGCGCAGTCGGAAGACTGGTCCTTGTAGTTGCGAGGAAGTCTTGTTTTGGTCTCGAAGTCGATCTCAAATGCATATAGCAATGGTCCGTAGTGAATGCTGATGGAATTTTTGTCGTGTTTCTCGATGCGAACTTCTGCATTGATGGTAACGAACACGTCGAAGTTGCCTGCTGATGGTACGCTGATCTTGTGGACGCACTCGGACTTATCCTTGGTATTTGGTACAAATTGCCTTATTTCTACCGAATCTTCCGAGATTGTTTCTCTCAGCTCAACTGTCGAAGAAGCCGTGGCCCAAGTTGGTATACGGATGAGAAAGTCGAAGGCCTTGTCGGTAGATATGATGTATCGTAGTGCACAAGGGGCAAACGGGTAGTTTGACTCGCAGTTGATGGTAATTCCATCCGTCTTCAGTCTCGATGGGATCAAGTAGGCGTGAAGTATAGCCAGGGCCCCTTCACCAGAACGTTTCCAGAGAAATGCGTTCATCAGGAGCTTTGGGTAAGCTGTCGGGTGGTTGACAGTACAGCAAGGCTTTTCAAGCGAAGGTCTTAGTGATGATCACTTCATGAGGTGGCGTTGAGGTACTTACAAACTCAGGTTCCAGCCCAAACACGTTGGCATATCGACAGACATCATAGAACGGTGTTTTGTCTCCCTCTGGTAGCTCGAGTTCGCGGGCCCAGGGCTGGTTGACCTGCGTGATGTATTGATGACTCCACCAGTCGGCACTGATGCCGGCAGGCACGGCGTTGAAAGCTGCCGATTCTACCATGTCGGCGAAGTGATTATCTCCAAAGAGTTGATAAAGGTAAGAAAGGGAGAACATGAGCTCGACCGAACAGCAAAGCTCGGAGCCACGTTGTGGAGAAAGACCGCCGATGTACTCGTCGCTGCTGATGGAGCCCGCGGCAGTGCCGTGGAAGGCGAATGTTTTGTTGACTGCTTCCCTGCAAAGAGCCGCAAGGTCTTCGGAAGGTTTCATGCGGTAGAGATGAGCTGGGTATCGGAGACCTGCAAAGAGTGTTAGTTACGATTCTCGAGATGTAGTTTTCATACTTCATCCGAGTTTCTTACCCTGGGCAACGTTCACGCCATGTTTGAAGTTCAATGACTTGTGCCTGACTGATGGCTCTTTCGGGAAATCCTCTCCAAAGAACTTCGTCCAATCTCTCTCCATGATCCGGGACCCCTCCCACATCATGTCCATGACCTCCCAGATTATGTGGCGGTCATTGGTATCGTCGGTTTGTCCGTAGAGCCATTGAAGTGTAAGAGCCAATTCGTGAGCTCGGGCAACTCCAAATAGTTGTAAGTCGAACACGTCGCCTTCCTGGGGTATGTAGCCTTGGTAGTTGTTCTTCAGCATGCTATGGACCAATCGAACGAAACGGAAAACGGCATCCAGAATCATTGCGCGCCTTGAGGAATCTGCAATGGCATGATTCGTGAGTCCCTGAAGCAGCAGACATCGCGCCCATATGCCACGGGTGTGGGCATTGGTCTCCGGGCCTAGCCAACCGTCTTCCGCCTGATGCTCGAGGGTGTAATCCAAGAAATATTCGGCCTGCCTTTTAATCTCGAAAAATAGCTTGGGGTCTGACTCTTGATCGAGAGTATAGGCTAGGGGGACAATGTAGTTGTACCAGTACGGGGCGGCCTCGTTCAAGGGGGTGTACTCCCACGTCCCCCCAAGCCAAGTGCTTTGCTTGACGAAGCGGTAGAAGTGGAACAAGTGTCCCCCAAGACCTTTCGCACTGAGTCGAAGCTGGTCTCTGAACCATCCGTTGGGCTGAATTGTTCCCAGAGGATAGAGTTCGTACTTGAAAGGAACGAGACTCCTATCGGAATAGCCAGTGGAGCACATAGTGGCGACGCAAGAGGCTGAGGAAACTATCATAGAAGCACGTGTCCGACGGAGACACCACACTGGGGATTCATAACGAAGTCTTCAAGTATTAAATCGGCGGTGACATGGTTTGGAATAGACCGTTGTAAGTTTCATTTGAGCATAATCGGATAGGGTGTAAGTAATACGCCTGCATGTGCTGCGCCCGATGCCTCAATAGTGCGTCAAGGTGGTTGTGTACCATTTGCTGCTGTGTATCACGCGGCGAATTCCTGTTCCTTGTTGTGTGCAATGCGGGTGACGTTTTCGATGGCATGTTACGAGGCGCGGGGTGGATGTCACTATGGATGACAGGTCTTGCCATTGATCTGATCTCGCGGGACAGATTGTCCCGATGCAAGATCGGGGTGGGGCCCGGGGCGGTCGCTACGGGATGCCAAGCCGGGCCACAGGGCCGACCTGGAAATTCCACTCCGGGTTGATGTAAGGCCTCTGATAAAGAGCAATGACAGAAAAAGCTAAATAATAGCAGTGAACCATGTGTATAAGGTTGGGCAAGTTTCTCTTTACAATACTACACAAAGTAAATTTTGATCTCAGCAGTCTGGCTGGGTACGTTTATTCTACTGCCGAAGATCAAAGTCCTACATTGAGAAGACCCTTTGCGACTTTGTATCCCATGTTCTCGACTTCTACATCCAGAAAGTGTCGCCAGGCACTCATTCCCACATGAATGACCATGCATGTATGGTCAATAACAAACGGAGCCTCGCCGTTGGCGGTTTGTAGAAAGAAAATACTCGAGCGGATCGCCAGATATCCAAAGAGGCAGAACGAGCCAACGAGGGCAAAAGCCCTGAACAAAGCGCCGAATATTGCAATGCCAGAAAACCCATGATCTAAGCGTTTCTTGCGGAACATGCGCCAGGCTACCGCGATCATTTCAAATATCGTAACGACACCTAACACCGTGAATGAAGCCGCGGCTGCTGATTCGTGAAAGTCTGTAGTTCCGTTTCCCAAAGTCCAATATCTGAAGAGAAAAGGGTTATCGCGGATTTCGGCGGCTGTACAGGGCGAGGCTCCTCCAGGGGTATTTGTGTACTCGTCTTCAAGAAATTGGTAGAATGTCGACTGAGGGAAGCGACGTTGGGACAGGTACACGATGTAAATGGTGGCCCCCAGCTGGGCGACAGCGGCGGTGAACACAACGCGCCACAGAAGGTTGCGCAGCATGGGCCTGTGGTGGAAGGCGCAGGACACGGGATGGCAGTTGAAAGACTGTGCAGCCCTCCACGTCGCGACCCAGTTGAAATATGACATGCCGTACGCGGCCAGCGGCGAACCGCTCATTCTGAAAACGTCAATCCACCACCATATCATCGTCAAGACTGACCCTATGGTACCGACCCACATCCAGGTCACCCTTTCGTGACAGTCTTGTGGCAAGTGAGGTTCAAAACCGAATGTTTTGAGGAACGCATAGCTCGTGATGATCCAAACCTCTGTCAAGCCAAGCCATGTGAACAAGGCCGAGGAGGTAGTAGCCTCGGGGGCTGGGATTGCTGGCACAACTTGGTAGTCCGATAGGCATCCCACAATGTCGCACCACAAAAGTGTGTCTGCCTTGTTGTTCCATGGGAAGAAGCTGAATACGGTGGTGTTATGATATCTTAAATTGTCGACTGATGGGAGGAGCCTTTTACGTTCTAGATAGGAGGTGCAGTTGATGTGGTCGACATTACGGGCCGCGCACTCCTCGAAGCGGCTATTCTTGTATAGGCTGAAACCCTCGTCACCAGGACCGACCGAGTCGGCCTGGACTAGAAAGATGATTACGAAGGCCAGTACAGCGATTCCGCCAACTATTGAGAGTCCGAGAAGAACCTCGACGGTCGTCAAAACATCTGCCGCGTCTGGGTATACCATAGGTACGTCGGAATCATCTTGTTTGCGTCAGTGTCAGGCACAGGCATCAGGAGGGAACCATGCACACACCGCTATTTTCTGAATTTTGAAGGCTTTCAGGGGTACGGGCCGGCTGGCGTTGCTCCTCGTCCGACATACTTTGAACCTGGTAAGAGTAGCTCATGACGGCAGTCAAAGAGGAGGGCAACCTGGCTAGAGCAGTAAATGCGAAGGCGTATATTTGGCTGTCGTCAGGCGCCTTCTTTATATCTTTGATAATGGAAATGGAAGCAGACCCTTTCATGTCAGGCTCTTGAGGCCTTTAGCCCTTCTTTGGGATGTCTTACTTGGGAGACCTCCAAGTACCTCTCGTCTTCACAGCCTTGCCATTTCTACACCAAAGCTGGGCATACCGATGCGGACCGCCTCATCGCGCGGTGGGCCTGGCGCCAGCATTGACGAGGCGTGCATCCATGGCGGTACTTGGAGTGTTCGACAATCCTAATTTGGCTGTGTCGGGCCAGATGACTCCTTGCATATTCGCAAAGTGAAGAATGCTGTTCTAGGATGCATAAGAACATCATACAGCGTGAGCGATCGGCTGCTGGAGAGAATGCCAAACCAAGATTCAAGATATGTCAGATATCCTGGACCTGATCAACAATGTTTTTCTTCAAAAAGAAGCCCAGATCTCTTGCTAACAGCCCAAGTCTAAAAGCCCCAGAGATTGTTGTTGAAAGTAAATGTATGGCCAAACAAGGCTCGGAGTCGACAAAAATGCGAGGTGTCAGTTGCGGCTTGGTTACTTTCTCAGCCGCCATTTTTTTGCCGCCTTCTTCTTTTTCCATTTGAACGCCAGGGATCATCGATAGGTCCAATAACAAAGCTCTTCTCCCAATTCAACTTTGTGCTGACACATCCCGTATCATGACAGCAGCATCGTCCGGAACATGCATTTCAGCTGATGCAGTTGATGTCCACGTTACACACCCCGAAAGCTAACGCCACGTATAAAATGCGGCTAAAATAACGCGCACAATCCCTCGAGATCATTTTCAACACCTATCATGAAGCTTCGATCGCGTTCGCTGCCAGCAATGACGAAGAACACTCCCTGCGATACAACCGAGACATGTCGACGAGCCTCAATGCCAAGCCGACCTGACAACGAGGTGGCAAGATCTTCTAACCCCTCGTTGCATGAATTTTCATCGACCAATGACACCTATAAAGAGCCGCCTCTCTGCGTCGACGTAGCCCAGAATGACATCGGGCTGCGATACCAGTGTCTTCCGGACGCAAATCGCTACATCCGCCTCCTGAAATTCCAACAGCGGCAAAGCGACGCTTCCGATTCGGTCGAAATTCACTGCGTCCTTCAAACCTTTTGTCTCAACGAAGCACCTGCGTACACTGCCATTTCTTATACCTAGGGCTAACTAACGCCTACTAGTATAGCAGCCTAATTAATTAAGTTAAATTAAGGGGGGTTATTTAACTATTTAACTATAAAATTGCTTAATATTTAATTATTTAGGTAAATACTTAATTAAATTAGCTTATTAACCTATTTAGGATATTAATAAAGCTATTATAAAGTATTTAAGGGGAAGAACTTATATATTTATAGTATTAAGGGCCCCTAGAGGGCTTAAGAGCCTTTTCCTCCCCCTATATTAATTTTATATCTACCTCCTTATAAAGTATTAACTACTAATAGTAATAGAGCTATTTTATAATTAATTTTAGAGGTATTAAGCCTCTTTTAATATTAAGGGCTTTATTAATAGCCTCTATAATATAAGGGTAAGTCCTATTAGGCTAAAGGTCCTCTTATAGTCTATAGCTATAGTAGGTATAGTAAATATATTAAGAGTAAGTCTATTAAGTATTAAGAAGGTTTAATAATAGAATAACTATTACTATATAGAGTTATTAATAAGCTAAGTAATAGACTATTATAGGTATTAATTTAGTTTAGAGGCTTTATTAATAGAGGCCTTATAGGCCTAACTATTAAGCTATTATTAGTATTTAGAGTTTTTAGCTTATATAGTAGTAATAATAGGGGTAAATACCTTATAAGTAATAAGTTAAATTAATATAATATTATAAGAGCTATTATAGTTAATATATTAATATTATTAATAGTTATATAACCTCTTTTTAGTATTATAAATCTAAATATATTAATTTAAGTTACTTTATTACTTTTTAAGTTATTATATATCTCTACTTAAGTATAGAATAATTAATATAGTATAGAGGCTTAAGTCTTTTAGCTTTATATAGTATTTATTTAAAACCTTTTACTTATTAAATTTAAATAGTTAAAAGTATCTATAAAAATTAAATTACTTATTATAAAGCTATTAAAGTTAATTATATTATTAATAAGGATAATATTTATTTTAAATATATAAAGAGATATTATTTATTAATAGGGGGGGGGGGGGGGGGGGGGTAAAAATTTTTATTAAT